TTTTCGGCAACATTCCCTTGATATATTTAAACCAGTTACAGTATTCCATTTAACTGTTACTTCGCGAAGAGTACTCCTCGCAGACTTGCAAATTTTTACTAAATTTCGTAAATCTCTTTGAGATACACCTTTTGGCCTTCCCGAACTTTTACCTCTAACGTCTACATTGGCAGATTCGCCGTATTTTTTTATTATATTAAAGACTGTAGTTTTTGGAATAGTTAAATCATCAGAAATTTTTCGAATTGTTTTTCCCATACTGTATTGACGAATGATAATTTCGCGTTAGTTTTTGATTTGTAGCTTTTCCACGGACCATTACTTTGAATTAAATAATTAACAAAATTGAAAATTAAAAAAATTAAAATTTCTTACAGTAAATCTCACTACTCAAAGTATCGAGTCACTTACAAGCTGTCAATGCTGAAGTAAACAGTTTGCGACATTTGTGACGTTTATAGCAAAGCCGCCTATGATGATATTAATTATTTAAAAATACTTGTCCCTACATTTAGTTGTCAGCAAATATGTCCTTTTATGAACAAAATCTTCTACTGTAAATATGGATTGATTTACAGATTCATAAAAATATTGTCAAGTGGTTTAGGATATATGGCTATGTTTATATTTAAAAAATTAAACATATATTTTAACAAATTAAACAGTCATTTTGAAAAACCAGGGCAATAATTCCAATATATTACCTTATCCCAATATGTAGTTGTTAGGGCTCGTATAAAATAGTGTTTATGATTTATGTAATTTTACTGTCTTTGAAAAATCATATTAATATTGTCTGTTGGACAGTTGAATAACTACCCAACAGATATGGTTTTAAGTCCAAAATTGGATCTCTACATTGATCAATTGAAGCAGCAATAGCCGATACTTCAGATCTTAAAACCATCTCTACTAGAGTAAACGTCAATCATAGAGGAAACAAGTTTAGATTGCAAAATGCCCATAAGGGCAATGTAAATACTATTTGGCGCTATTCTTACAAAGAACGGTCGCTCTCCAAAAATTTTGATAATTTCGGAGCGGTTCGGCTTTTCCGGAGTTATGTCGCCAAATATCATTTATTCAAATTGATTATTTTCTTTTAATTTTTTAAATAACATACTTACAGTGTGTTGCATATAAGAAACTTAATTTTATATAAGGACATGTATGAAATACCCATGAAACATTGGAAACCGACGTTATGAAACCACGATCCACGATGATTTTTGCACAGTTCACACAGCTTTTTAATGCCACTTTTTCACAATTATTACGGGTTTGAGTAAATAAAATTTAAATGAAACTCACAAGATAGCAATAATTACTTTGAAAATGGACACACTTTAAACACTTTTCAGTATTTTTTCAATGAGGACAGTTTAAATTTTGAAAGATTTTATAATTTTTGAAGATTGTGACTTTAACAAGAGAAAATTATTTCTGTTCTTGTTTACGATTGTTCTTACCAAATACGTTTAAATAAAATATACGACGGCCTCCCCATAAGAGCAATGAGAGGATTTACGTCCCAGTATTGAAGGACAGAAAATCGAGTCTGAATGGTTTCAGGACATAAGTTCATCCTTGTTTAGTCAAACCTCCTACAACACAAGGATATGTAGGAAATGCATTGAAATTCTATAGCCATCCTTCAGTATATTTTATTTAAACGTAATTGGTTCTTACCAACTGCCATAACAGCGCCAGATCCCGTGCAACGTATGCACCCGAAAACCATTAGCGTAACTAGCAATTTATCCTGGTGTAGAGACCAGTGGGGGCCTAGGGCTTTTATTTTTTTAAAATGAAAAATAATTTTAAAAAACACATTTAATTTATTAGTTTTTTTTAATAAAACGTTTCCATGAATTTCTCTATCAATAAATTTCATACACTTGGTTACAGTGGTTACAATCTTGGTTACAATCAAACCATGTTCCCGTAGATTACTTAAATACCTATAAATTTTCTAAAAAAAATAAATTTAACACATTTTTTGAATACGACAAAATAATATTAACTAAACAAAACTAGAAAACGTAATTTTTACTACATCTCAAGCAAATAAAAATTAATACGTAGCCAAGAGTGATAATTCAGGATTTATCTGTGGGGTGCCCAGCAGTACCTGGAGGGGTGGGCGGCACACCCGGGCTCCCCTGTAGTTACGCCAATGCCCAAAACAATTATAAGTTTTAGCGGCACGCCGAGCATTCCAATATAAGCTTGTTTCCTTTATCTATGACGTCAATAAACAATAGTAATATTGACTTTTCAGTGTGTTAATGAGGACCCAAAATCAATGCAAAAATTGCTGTAAATCGATACTGTCTTATTCAAGAGCGAATATCTCCAACAAAAATAAAGCTATTGAGATGAATCAAAAAATAAACTATCGGGAAAAGACGTACCTAGATGATAAAATTATTTTTAAATTCCTTGCTTTCTTCACCTATTCCACAGGGTGTTGCAAATTTTCACCAAAATATCAAGATTTTATTTTCCCTCGTATAATTGATAGATGGAAGGAAACTTTCATTTTTAATTTAGAAAGAGATACTAAAAAGTCAAATAATTTAGCTACAAATTGCTTAAAACATCATCAGAATCGGCCCACTAGAACAAAATATATGAAACTTAAAATATATCAAAATTTTAAAGTGTCAGTTTTTTCCTGTCCTGTGAATGTATTTTATACAGGGTGGCCCATCGAAAATGTTCCGCAAGGTATAACGGCCAGGGTATTTTTTTTTTCAAAAAATCCAAAAACACGTCAATTTTGTTTATGAGGGGGACAACTTTTGCCCCAAATATGATTGCAAAATCGTCAACCCTCTCAGCGGGGGTGTCATCCCCCAACTTTTTTTAAATGGGAAGGGGTGTCAAGTGGCACCGCAATGAAAAGAACTTTCTATTCTCTATATTTCCCCGCCTCGTTTTTGAAAATCGGTCAAGTCATTGAGAAAATATAAAGGATTGAAATTTGAAAAGTTTATTTAAACATTTATCAGAGTAAATGATAAGGATAAATTCCTTCGACCAATTTGAGGTTTTTTCTTATTATTTCTAGATGTTTACGCATTTTTTCCACAAGGTTGAACGATCAGGTGCGGTAGTTGTTAGATAGCTGTTCTGTGACTTGTGCGTTGTCCTTCTCAATATTGTTAAACTCACCCATAATAGTATTTCCAAAAATACCAGCCCACACGTTCAATTTCTGAGGGTTTTGTGTGTGCACCTCGTGAAGAACACTGGGGTTGTCCTCAGCCCAATACCGACAGTTGTACCGATTAACGACACCGTTCAAAAAGAAAGTACACTCATCCGAAAAAACACACATTAAATAGAAAATGATTATCATTCGCCACTCGTTCACTCATAGTTTTACAAAATTGCAAGCGACGATCAAAATCGTCTTCGTTGAGTTCTTGTACCAACTGAATTTTGTACGGGTGGAACTTTTTTTTTGTGGAACGGGTTTTTTTAATATCCTTTGGACACTTGTACGATTCAGGCCGGTCTCATTGGCTAATTTTCTTGTACTCAGCTTACTATCCATGGCAACTTGGCCCAATACGAATACCTCCATAGCTTCATTTACTACAGGATTTTCCCTGTGTCTCTTTTTATTCATAACGGAACCAGAGTTTCGCGAAATTTTGCTACTAACTCGCGAATAATTTTGCCATAAAGGTGTTTGTCAGGATGGCGGTCATTGAATATCTGCGCAACCCGATTGCCACATTCATTATTTTTAAAATAAAGGTCGATTATTTCCACTTTTCCTGCAAGTGAGTACACCATAATTGTTAAAAAGTTTAACGATATTAAGAAGAACTTCACCGCATAAGTCACAGAACAGCTATCTAGCAACTACCACACCTGATCGTTCAACCTTGTGGCAAGTGAAAAAATGCGTAAACATCTAGAAATAATAAGAAAAAACAGCAAATTGGTCGAAGAATTTATCCTTATCATTTATTCTCGTAAATGTTTAAATAAACTTTTCAAATTTCAATCCTTCATATTTTCTCAATTATTCGACCGATTTTCAAAAACGAAGCGGGAAATTATAAAGAATAGAAAGCCCTTTTCATTGCGGTACCACTTAACCCCCTTTCCCATTTGAAGAAAATTGGGTGATGACACCCCCGCTTAGAGGGTTGAAGATTTTGCAATAATTTTTGGGGCAAAAGTTGTCCCCCTCACAAACAAAATTGACGTGTTTTTGGATTTTCTGAAGAAAAATTACCCTGGCCGTTATGCCTTGCGGAACGTTTTCGATGGGCCACCCTGTATATTGGTTCCTAATTGGATACGTATTACATGAAGCATTATTGTTAGTATACAGTAATTATTTAAATATTACTAATACATATGAAATTTGATTTTGAATCTTTTTAAATTGAAATTTCACAACATCTATTAATATTCTAGAAGTACATTCTCTAATCAAACAAGAACAGTGTATTTTGCGAATAGTCAAAGAGACTTTTAATTTGATATAAATGCATTTGAAAGTTTGCCTGCTTCCTGTTTTAAAGCAATTTATCATAAACGTTGGCCCGAAGATGATAATTTAAGAACTCTGTTTTATTTTTCAGTCTACTGCAACTTTGGCGAGCCAAGTGTGTGTCTTTCTTTATTATTTTAGTTCAGTTTGAAACGTGTTTTATAACTGTGATATACCTAGTGGGTGAAATACGTGAACTTCAAAATCACTAGCTATAAAATTTATCAGCATTCTTACATACGTAACAATTAATCCTAATTTTAAAGTACGTTGCGTTGTTATTGTGCGTATTTTCATAAAATATGCTTAAATATCGGGTTACCAGATCGTCCACAGCATCAGTACTCCAAAAAGAAATTAAAGTTAGCGATACTATTTCTGTTTCCAGCAAAGACTCTGCATATTATTCCAACATGTATGTGAATTTTAATTAATATTTACTTTTAGACAATGCTCGACTAATTTTTCTTGCTCTTCTTTTCAGATCAACATTTTCCAGTCCTCCAGAACCCAAACCTCGCGATACGCTCTCTGTTTTGAGTAAAAGCAGTCACGGAGGGTCAAATTCGTCTATTTCAAGTGGAAGTGCGTTCGGCAGTGCGAGAAAAAAGAAACCTGCTCCAAGACCACCATTGCCGTTTAGAGCAGACCACTCAGGTTCGAGTAGTCTTACCACAAGCCCAAGTCAAAGTCTTGTAAGTTAAAATTAATTATGAGGTGAGCCAGTGCTCTGAAAAAACTTCTATCAGGTTTTTTATTTCACGTTTTCACTGCAATCTTTCTTTCAGGGTATGCGGGCAATGGTAACCTAAATTTTCGTTATATATTCATAGGTATACAGGGTGATTAAAATAGATCTTGACTCTGAAGTTAGTAGTTTTTTTAATAGAATTGGTTTAGTTTCAGTGGAGATATTTCTGAAATATGATCATTTTTATGTTTTCTACACATCTAAAGCTATCTCAAAATTATTTTAAATTTCAAATTATTGATGCTTTTGAACTAGAAATATTTTATTATTTTATTCTAGTATCTTATTTAAATCTATTCAGACTATAATATGCACAACTGTACATACTGGAAGAGCCAAAAATAGATATATTGTTGTTCCAACTACAAAATTACAAAATGACATAAATTAGGATTGATTGACATATTCAATTGTTTTTGGTCGTTTCCTGTTTCACCGGAAATGACTACAACTTTTGATTTTAAATGGCACCTTCGGTATATTTCTATTTTATTCAATGGAAAATGACATATTTTATCAATGTCAACTTTTGACATTTTCGCATATAATTTATTTTAAAATGTTACATGTGGTTCATAACGACAGTTTGACTCGAAATGCCAAGTGTTTGTTACCAAATTAAATGCTTTTGTAAAAAAATGCTTTTTCCAAATATCCTAATGAGCTACTCTTGTTCCTTTGAAAAAATTAGGATATGATTAAAAATACGATTAGGACATCCTTTAACTGGCCAGGACAAGATACGAAAAACATTAGACAATCAAATCTATTGCTCCAAGGCTCCTTGATTTAAAATTGGTGTTTTTAACACAACCATGGCACTCTCGATTGAAATTTAAAATACGCTTTTTTAAGCGAAAATGTCAAAAGTTGACATGCGATATGTCAAAGTAGAAATATACCGAGGGTGCCATTTAAAAATCAAAAGATGTAGTAATTTCCGGTGAAACAGGAGGTGATCAAAAACAATTGAATGCGTCAATCAATCCTACTTTAAGTCATATACTAACATACCAAATATCTTTTTTTTTATCTGAAAAAATAAAAAAGTTATAGGGGTGAGAGACCACTTTCCAGACGCACCCGGTATAAAAATGAAAATATTTTATCAAACGTGTGATACTAGAGCCCGCAATTTTTTAAAAAGGTTTCAGTCAAAATCTCAAATAAGAGACTTGATTTTATATCAGGAATTTTCAAAACACTTGCCCACCCTGTATCCAAAATTAGACATACAAAATTATATATTCTATACTACAGAATTTTATAAACAAATCTATACTTAATTTCCCAAGCTTTTTTGATGTAGTCCAAATCAATTTCTCGGTTTAATTCGCAATAGTTATTGCTGTTCAAAAAGAGCTGGTTTGAAATGAGGGGTGAAATAGAATATGATCGAAAAAAAACGGCGTCAACGATGGCTATTAAATGAAGAAATATCATTTTATATGTAAATTATATGGGGAATGTCATCGATGTTCATTTCCAAGTCAACGTTTTTTTTTTTCGATCATACGGTATGAATAAAAAAATAGTTGGATAAAACAAGTGTAGATAATCCAGTAATATAGAACAAATCTAATGTTCTTTCTAGTAAAGCATCGTTAAAAAAACGATGTACTTAAACAGCCGTTAAACGGTAGCCTACTAAAATGCCTCTTAAAAGCCTATTAAAATGCACGCTTTTTTATATTTTTTATATTAAAAGACTTTTTTATATTTTTTTTGCTTATAACATGATCTTATTGCATTGATTTCACTCTTTTTGGTTGGATTGGTTTAGTTATTTGGCGGGTTGGTTAGCGTGATTATTTGGAGGGTGTTAATTCATTGGTTAGTTGGTTATTTGGTGGGGTTGGTTGGTTTTACTAATTTATATTTGTTTTTAAATTTTTTTATCAGTGTCGAGGTTAGTTGCGTTGGTTAAAGTTGGTTATTTGGTGGGGTGGATAGTGTTGGTTAGTCCTTATAAAATTCCTATATTTCATAAAACCGTCAAGTGCGTCACATCAACGACGTCATACCTTAACGGCAGTTTAAGTACAGCCTTAAAAATAGGCTGTACTTAAACTGCCGTTAAACGGTAGCTTACTAAAATGCCGTTAATAGGTATGACGTCGTTGATGTGACGCACTTGACGGCTTTATGAAATACAGAAATTTTATAAGGACTAACCAACGCTATCCACCCCACCAAATAACCAACTTAACCAACGCAACTAACCCCGACACTGATAAAAAATATAAAAAACAAATATAAATTAGTAAAAATCAACCAACCCCACCAAATAACCAACTAACCAATGAATTAACACCCTCCAAATAACCACGCTAACCAACCCGCCAAATAACTAAACCAATCCAACCAAAAAGAGTGAAACCAATGCAATAAGATCATGCTATAAGCAAAAAAATATATAAAAAAGTCTTGGTCAGCGTGAGATTTTAACCCCGGACCATGCGCTCACGAACCGATAGTCTCAGCCACGGAGCCACAGATGCTCTTGCAATATGCTTATGGCTAGGCATTACTTTCCGCCGACATGAACGACGTCACAATATCTATTAACAGTATTTTAGTAGGCTACCGTTTAACGGCTGTTTAAGTACATCGAAAAAAATTTCAGAGATACTTACTTAAGTTTTTATTTTCAGTCACAGTCTCCCAACCTGTCAGGAACCATAAGAAGCAGAAAAAATAAAAGGGCTCCACCTCCACCAAAAGCATCCACACCAAATCCCGACACGAAAAATATATCAGATAGATTGCCTAGTCAAATATCTCCAATAGATTCAGATAGTGCCACCACAACCATTCCCACAAATGAGGATGTTCCAAAGAACAAAGATGTTAAGGATGAGGAAAATAGAAATAAACAAAACATAAACATTGGTTGTGATACTCAAGGTAAGATCTTTGTAAAGTTCGAAGTAAAAATTAATTTTGGAAAAATTATTTGGAAAAGCGGAAAGGGTAATTTTTGCAAGGGTGGGGGGTTGTTTCGTGAATAATTTTTTTGAGGTTATTTTTTTTGTAACCTGGGTTCATTTTTTGAAAACTACATAGTTTTTCCTACAAAAATGGTACTCTTGTTGCACATCGCCCAAAGAGTTTGCTCTGATGGGTTGCTAACTGGTTAATCAACATAAACTTACGAAAGTTATGGTGGTTCAAAAGTAGCCAAGTAGTTGCCAAATAATTAATTAAAATACTTAACGAATTTATTTTCTCACTTTATACACAATTACTAACTTATAACACACAACAAACTAACTATTTATAAGATTCCTTCACCAAATTGTCCGATTTTCAATTTCCACGCGGTATATTCAAATTTCAAAAACTGTCTCAGTTCGATGGCTCCGGCTCTATTGACTGCTTCTCGAAATTTCCCCAATTCTCGGAAAGCGTACTTCTTCATACCAGACAATTCCATTGTCTGATTCCCTTACTTCTCGAATTGACTAAAAGATGGCGCCTGAAAAAGTCTTTTAATTTCTGGCGGATACGTTGCGGTTGTGCAGGCAACCAGTAATACATTTTTAATTTCTGGCGGGTACGCCATTTTTCTTGACAATATCATGAAATTTATGATTTTCCAATTAATTATTTAATAACTAGTTGGTTACTTTTGATAAGTTTATATTGATTAACCAGTTAGCAACCCATCAGAGCAAACCCTTTGCCTCCAATTTCCTCGAAAACCATCGCTCTGGATGATGTGCAACAAGAATACCTTTTTTGTAGGAAAAAATATGTAGTTTTCAAAAAATAAACCCGCGCTGCAAAAAAAGATAACCTCAAAAAAGTTATTCGCGAAACAACCCCCTACCCTGGCAAAAACTACCCTTTCCGCTTTTCCAAATAATTTTTCAGTATCACCGTTTGATTTAGGGTCAAAATTTATGACAGAGGATTTTTTTTCGAAATTTTATCTCGTTTTTTAAACCTACAATTTCAAAACAATCGTTTTTAAATTCACCGTTTCAGTGCCCCTAACTCCCTTAATATGCATTTTCCACCCTATACTTAACTTTTTTTACTATTTTTAGGAGTACTATTACCTCCCGATTTTTTACACAATTTCAATGACACCCTGTATATTTTTAGGTACTTCCGATAATGATGGTGTATCTGTGCTCAATAAAAGTACTTTGGGGAGGTGGAAAAGGAAAAAAGGGCAGGCACCAACCCGGCCAATTCCTGAAAGAAGAATTGTCAAAACACTTCCAATTTCTGAAATTCGTAGGGAATTAGATACCATTGAGATTCAACAGCAAGGACTTGAAAAGCAAGGTGTTAGGTTGGAACAAATTATCAGAGAAAAATGCGAAGGTGCCGAAAGTACTCCAACAGGTACATAGTTATTTTATTGGTAAATCATACTTAAATTGTATTAACGTAATGATTTTTGTTTATAGATGATGTGCCAATTGATGTGGAAGATCTAATACTGCAACTGTTTGAAATAGTTAATGAGAAAAATGAACTGTTTAGAAGACAAGCAGAACTCATGTACTTGTAAGTATAAGTTTTTCTTTATGTTTTTTATATACAGGGTGTTCCTTAATGACATGATAATATTTAAGGCGGTGATTCTTGAACCTATTCTAAGAAAAAAACTTCATATGAATGTACGTCCTAAACATCATAACTTTTCAGATGCAGGGTAGCAAAATTTTCAATTTTTTTTTCATAATAACGCTAATGTTTGATAGATATCTTTATGAATCTTAATAAATGTCTTCTGTGCCTCAATATGCCATTTTTGATGTACAAACGATTTAATTTATTTCAACCAGTGGCGTCCATACGGGTTTTATATACCGTGCTGGCAACTGTTACTTTTGGGTCGGCATTTACATGTGTGGAACTAAATCGCATAGGGATCTTATTAAGTCGGAGTGAGAGAAATGCGACCGACCGACGCGACGCGCGACGGTGTGCTGTTGCGGCGTTGCCGATACGCCTTTCCCTATGAAGTAAAGTAAAATCACGATCGCAAACCGCTTATTTTTAAAAGACTTTTTTTCAAGAGATAACTAGATAAAGTCATTAGACATGTTTCTGAGCATCTCAAAATGGAATTATAAGGATAACGTTAGGGTGTCATTTTTTTTATAACGAGAAAACGTCAGTAATCGCGATAATTTAAAAATTCAACTTTTTAACACATAACAGGCCATAACTGAAGAACCACTTTAGATATTGAAACTTTTTTTTTATTTCCAAGATTGGATATTTTACAATATGTTTACATAAGAAAAATTCGATAGGGTTGTTTTTTCTATTCAAAAATTGTAAACAATCCATCCATTTACTTTTAGAGCATAGCAATTTTCAGCAATCGTGTAATTTTTTTATTGATAAAGATTTTCACATACTGTCTACAAAGAAAACACAGCAGAAATATTAACAAAGTTCTTGAAAAAACTACAATCTCTTATTTCTAATAGATTTCGAGATATCGATTTTTGAATTCAGAGTTCTAATAGCGCGACCACTATCGAACACCTACTCAATTCCACTTATTTTTACCAAAAATGCAAGTGTTTCTAGCTTGCCATAGGGAAAATTACAACGATTCGTTAATAAATGAACAAATTAAGTATCACGAGACGTAATTAAATCGTGAACGCATGACGTACACCTTTCCCTAGAACTTTAATTACTGACAGAGGTATTGATTGGGTCGACTGGTCAACTGCGACAAATCTGCTTATCCCCTTCCACGTCTCTTAGCGATGTGCACAGTTTCTCGGTTTATTTCATATGTTTGGCAACGTGTTTACTGTCCTCTCTTTGTTCAGTACATTATAGACACATTGTACTCTTCTTACATCCCGGAAATCTCGACCCAAGACTAATCTTTGCCAGCCCTTAGTATAGTTTTGGAAAAAAAATAGTACGCCACTAATTTCTCTTAAAATAAACAATTTTCGAAATCGTCACTCATTTAAGAGGTAGAAGAAATTATTGTTGCATCAAAATTAATTTTGATGCATATAAGAAGTGTATCAAATTCCATAAAAAAATCTGTGATATCAGTTAATATATGAAGTGTTTTTTAGAAAATTTACCACCCTGTATCTCAAAAGTTAAGATGTTTGGGACATATTATGTAGTAGAATGTTTAGGAGGGAGGTTAATCACCGCAACCTTACAAATCTATTGTGTGTTCCCCTTTCTTGAGTTATAACTCAGTCTCAGGGCTTTTAACAAAAGCCAGTATCTGACACGGCTCTACAGAGTCCAGCTCTCCATCTTTGACATCAGCCATACCTAAGTTTATGGCACACACGGTTGTCGTCTCGGCGCACTCAGTAATAAGGTGTTCTGGTGTTTCCCCATTTTTGTTTAGGACATACATTCGTATGAAGTTTTTTTCTTATGACTGGCCCAAGAATCACCCTTTTAAATATTAGCATGTGATTAGAGCTCATCGACAATATTGACAAGTGTGGCTCCTACAAGACGTGGCAAATATTCATGTGTCCAACATTGGAAGGTGTTTGCCACAGTGTGTGGGACCGGCTTAAGGAACATCCGGTATAAAAAAGAGTTAAGCTTGAATGGTAAGTGTATTACAGCAGCAAAGTTGCTTCTTACTACCCAAGCCTGAAAATTTATCCAATTTCATATTACATTATTATAATATATTACTTATAAACTTTTTTCATTGCAGAAGGCGCCAGCAGAGATTGGAGGAAGAACATGCAGACGTTGAATATCAGATTCGCTGCATAATGATGCAACCAGAGGCCAATAAAACTGACTCAGATAAAACTAAAGAAGAGGCTTTAATTAATAGGTACTCCATTTTAATCACACATTTCCTATTATTGGTCTAAACATTATATTCATATCAAAATTCAAATTTGCCATGTTTGTTTACTTATATATTTTTGATATGTGGATTGGCTGTATTATTATATGATGTTAATGTATTTTTCAGGTTATTAGAAATTGTTGAAAGGAGAAATGAAATAATTGAATGCCTTGAAATGGACAGAGTAAGGGAGGCTGAAGAAGATAACAGTATTAGCAGTCAATTAAATTTATATAGTTTAAAAAGGGATAGTGATAAGGACCAACCCGAAAAAGATAAGAAGGAAAAGAAGAAGAAACTTAAGAAAATCAAAAAAATTATCCCAACTTTACACAGACACAAAGACAAAGAAAGAGAATATAAAGTTGATATTGACAAAGATGTGGATGAAACTGAAACTAACTCGGCAGAAAAGAAAAAAAAGAAAAAATTTCTGTTTTGAATCTATAATCTGAGAATGTTTTTGTAAGTTCAGTACTTTCTATTTAGGTTGTACATATTTTTACTATTTACATGAAACTGTTACATTATTTTGAGCTAAAGTTTGTTTCCATATTAATTTTAAGATTATGTTATTTTTGTGATTTTTGTTTTACTACCTAATACATTTTTATTATAAGAGCTGTGTTTAATTTCTTAAGACGTTACAAAAAAGTATGAACAATTGATATAACACATAATTATACTTGAATAATTCAACTTAATAGATGAATTGTGTCTAGCGTCTTTTAAAACCATACTTTTTCCGTTCATAAAATAGATCAGTCTTTGAACTTCCTAGATTAACGATTTTGGGACAACCGTCTCTATCTTTTTCTTGAATGGTGCATTCTTTACAGTAATATGCATCTGAGACACCAGGACCGCCACAGATTACACATCTACCTTGATATGATCCATAATTGCATTCGTCACATATTCTCACAAGAGTACATGGCCTAACATAAGAATCACAAATTACACATTTACCGTCACATTTTTCACATAAACGCCCTATAGCTACACCAGGTTGTTTTCTGCAGAAAATTAGATCAGGATGATGCTTTGCCATGACAAAATCTAGAAAAAAAATAGTATGTTGAGATAAATATTTGGAGAGTACCCTTTTATCTGAACAAAATATAATATACTTACGTTACACTACTATTTATTTTACAATTTGATAAAGGACCAGCAAAAACTATTTAAATTATATTTTTTCCACGGGAAAAATAAAAAAAACGACGAAAACAAAACACATTGACAATATGAAATATGACATTGACAACAGCGTTGCCAGAGACTTTTCCAAAATTGTACTATTCTGTGGTAAAAATGTACCAGATTTTGATCGATTTGATCGAAAATGTACCAGACAAATCGCGCATTAGTCAAAGTCGTCTCGGTACTGTCAGCCACAGATAGAAAAAGAATTCTTGGCAGGGTTGGCAGAATATAGTTTGACTTATATTTGATAGAGGGCGATACCGGCGATGTAGAAAACGAAATTAGAGATGAGCGGTATTAGAAAAAATTCTAAGGGAAAAATTGTCGATTTTTTTGAACTTTCGATATTTGGAGTGTAATTTGCCGATTTTTATTCAAAAAATTATTGTTGTAATCAATGTTTACTATTAAAAAATGTACCAGAAATGTGAAAAATGTACTTTGGTACAAACGGTTCCAAAATGTACCAGATCTGTACAAATGTACCAGCTCTGGCAACGCTGATTGACAATTGACAAGACACAAGACAAGATTGACATTTGACATGCAACAAGTGACAAGAGTGCTTTCAGCCACAGCAGCAATATATATTTCTCAAAATTAATTATGTTGCTGCAACCAAATATACAGTAACATATAAATTGTCCACCAGTTGTCCACCTTTAGGTAAATTTTTAATTCTAACAAAATATAGGAAGCTGTACAAATAGAATAAAATTTATAGAGGGACACAATAGATGACCCTACATCTAAATGTAGGGTCATCAAACATCTCTATATAATTTTTAATTTTTAATACAATATTTATTTATAAATTTCTTTTATATTCAAAATTTTAATAAATAAAAGAAGAAAAGCTCAAACATTACCATTTGAAGAGCACAATGGAAAAACGATGAGTGTCCAAAACAATAAATGTTCAGGAAAGCGTTTTTTAATTTAAATTACGCATTGACTGTTATCGTTTTTCCACTAGTTTTTCCCATTTTTAAATAGCTGTTTCTATGTGAGCGTTATCGATATCATAATCGATATTTCCGTTTATACCAGGTATATAATATATTTAGGTACCAAAAAGTGTAACTCTTAAAAACCAAAAATATACATTAAAATCAAAATAGCAAAAAATTGGCTTTCATCGTTTTTCCCGTGTGCCCTTCATTTTGTAATGTGTATATTAGCAGAGATATTAGTAAAAATATGTATCATCCTTAGATTCTATAAACCTCGTAAAAATTTGATAGATCAAAGTTAATGGATCAAAGCTTACCTTAACCTCTTAATTTAAAAACTTCTTAACTTTCTTTCTTCTAAAAAAAATACTGCAAATATTAAAATATCCCATTTAGCAACTTTCAGCTTTATTTAATATATAATTATATTTGTATAAACATCAATTTCAAAAATAGAGGCAACTGCTAAATATATATTATATAGAAAAGACTAATTACATTATACATTTAAAAACATTAATATTAAAAATATTTGGCCCTTATACTTTTTATCTTCTTATTATAATTCATTTGCTCACTTGAATACCATATGTTCGAAAAAAAAAGACTAAATTTGGCCTGGAAATAACAATGAATGAGATTCACCTTTTAATTTTAGATATAAAATGACAGCAATCCAACTGACGCCGTTTTTTTTCGCCGGTAACGAATAGATATACAATTCCTAACTAAATATAGTAAAATATGATCGAAAAAAACGGCGTCCAGTTGGCTTGGAAACGATGATCGCTAACATTTCCCATATAGAATTAATGTTGTATTTTATATATAAATTAATGGAGATCTTCATTTCAAAACCATCTCCGACGCCTTTTTTTTCAATTATATCGTATAACAAACATTGTATCTTTTAGTTGGGAATTAATATAACATGTTACATATGCAATAATAAAAAATTTAAAAGCAATTTTCCAATAACTACAGTTTAGGTAAATATAAAACTCTTTTGCCCCTGAGATTAAATTACAGAAAATGCAAAAGCTATATTGATTTAACGAACAATAAGCGATACAATTTAAAATTTGAGATAACATCAGAAACAATGCTAAAATTAAATTCTTTTATAATGTGTTGTGATTTTTGTGTAAGAAATATATAATAAGATACAAAAATGTAGTTTAAGCTTCCCCAATAAGGTGTAAAAGACATTTCTTGTAATCACCAGAACAGTCACCCTAAAAAATAAAAATAGAGCTATTATTTAATAATATGCAGAGTCTGATACATACTTTAATAGCTTCAGCTAGAGATTCTCCATAATGAGATTGGTATTCTCTCTTAATTTCGACCATATCAATTTCAGATCGAGTCACAACCAATCGAATCAAATCATTATCATTTGTACCCAACCCCTTCATAGATTTGTTAAGTAGTTTTGCAAAAAAGGCGGGCTGATTCTTGATTGATCGCACAACAGCAAGGAGGCCATCCTCCGAATTTCCAGAGAATTCATTTTTTATTGCTTCTTCAATATCATGCCCTTAAAAATGTACAAAATGTTGTTAAATAATATATAACAGACTTAGCAGCGGTAACTGTTAACAGTATGTATTTTTCTTCAAAATTGTAACTTGCTTATTGGAAAAACATTTTAAAAATTATCTATCATGTACTAACCAGTCAAGTTATAATATTCCTGAAATATTAGTTGAAGCTGGGCCCAATTTCTTTGGCACAAAACCATATTAAAAGTACTTTCATCGGTACCCAGTCGAAGTTCCCCAGCTCTCAGCAAAGCTTGTGCGTCTGCTCTGGCAGAGTTTTGATCTACAGCCATACTTTCATCCCGACAAGCATTGCACAAAGATACCATTAGCCTTTTGAAGGTACCACTGGTGTCTCCTTTTAAATCCTCTTCTAAAGTTCTATAATACACTGAAAATAAAATTATTAGAAAAGGAAAGAACTCAAAGGAAATATAAAACATACAAGCTTGGTACGCTTGTCTGATGACCATAATTTCTTGATTTGACTTGGTACATAAAACTTCAATCAGCACATTTTCATCTGTTCCCAAGCCTTGCATAGCATCATGTAATTGTTTAGCATAATATTCAGGAAGTGGTGTCATCATAGCAACAAGTAGATTTTCAAAGTTTCCAGTTGTTTCAGATTTTAAATCTTTAATTAGATCCTAAAAAATATTTACTAATTTTAAAAATTACTTTTCATATATTACACTGTAATCATTGAATAAGAATGGTAAATATTGTTCCTATGTGTCAATCTATTTTTATTACCTTTCCATAAAGTGTTTTAAACTGAACAGCAATCTGTAGTCTTTGAGCGTTTGGTCTGTGAGCCAAAACATTTATAATTGCTTTCTCATCTGTACCAAATCCTTTCATAGCCTTACGTAAAATTTCAGCATCAGCCCTAGGATCAAAAGGACTGGCTGGAACCACAGTGGGTGTTCTCTAAAATTGAAATTGTTATAGTAAGAGATAAATAGAGGCATGTAAATTTCCTTTGACCGAATAAAAAATGAGGGTCAAGTTACCTATAAACAATGATAGTTGACATATTATATGTAAAATTAAATGTGAATGGCAACGATTTTGATTTCTAAGATAACTTGACGCCATTTATTTTTTGATCTTAGGTATTGGTCTCGGTTTTTGTATATCTGTCTTAATACATAGTAGGTAGTAACTATAGATCATTAATTGATTGCTTTATTTAAAAGTTTTATAATCAAGGTACTTAGTGAGCCATCAAAAACAAAATTAAACCATAAAAAAACATTTTATTATTAAAGAATTAAGTAACATCGGTTGCTACAGTAAAATATATTCCAAGCTTTTCTAACAATTCAATATACAGTATGTCCCCGGATTGTCTTTACAAGAGGAACAACTTTTTTATTATTGACATTTTGAGAAAAATGCATTCTTCAAAGAAGTTTTGCTTGTTCTAAAATGGTTAATCCCTTTATACTTTTCCAAATTTCCATACCCTTTTAGAGAAAATTAAAGGCAACATGAAATTCTAGTCCTAAAAATCAAAACGCGTTTCTATGGTCATATAATTTAGATTTTATTCATTGATAGATGGTTATTATTAATTTTGATTAACATCAAATTTTTTACTGTTGTTAAAATGTCATTTTCCGATAATTTTGTCGCCATTTCCGTAGCATTGAACTAAATAAATTTTGTGCTTTTTTAACATTTTAAAAAAGCAAAAAATATGACGTTAATTAAAATTCTATCAATAAAATTCTACAAAAGAATGAAAACGAAATTAATGACCATAGAAACGCGTTATGATTTTTAGGACAAGAATTTCATGTTGTCTTTCATTTTCTCTAAAATGGTGTGGAAATTTGTATAAGTATAAAGGGACTAACCGTTTTAGAACAAGCAAAATTTTTTTTATGAAGAATAATGTATTTTTCTAAAAACGTCAATAATAAAAAAGTTTTTCCTCTTTTAAAGACAATCCAGACACATACCTACCTACTGTAGATTACTTTTTATATTGTCATTTAAAATTCTTAGTACTATTTCTGATTATTACATATTTGAAAAGTTTAGTAATTATATCCAAATATGGACAGTAACATATGTACAGTTGTACAAATATAGGAAGAGACTTGGGGATAGCACCGGTCGTGTGTTATTTTATATTACTCACGTCTCTAGCTATACTTGTTAAGTTGTACCTATAACGATACTAACAGATTTATTTTTTAAAACAAAGATAACTTAATCTAGAATTTAATTAATGAACGAAGTATCAACCTACAAGTTTTCTAATAGAGGAACCCGAAGGCGAACCTATAAAAAAATACCCTATGATAACAAAAAAACGGCGGCGGCGTCTAGTTGGCTGGGAAATGACGATCGATGACATTTTACATATAAAATGACAGCGATCTTCATTTCGTAGCCATCGCTAACGCGGTTTTTTTTTCGATCATATGGTACTTAGTATTTAACCAAGGGTTTTTATAAATGATTAAATTCATAAATTTTTATCACTAGGTACATACAACATACTGATAAGAAATCTGAAATAAGTAAATACCGAGGTAAATACATCCAAGTAGGTATACAAAATTTTACTTATATTGGAGAATTAATAATTCTGCATTTAAAGAAACACATAATATGCCTTTATACCTGCAAATGTTTGAAATATGTATAATTGCTTATAGCTTATATTATATAATGTTTATTTTGACTTTGAAGTATGTAGGTATGAAGTAGAAAAAAAAATAGAAAAGGGGATTCACAGATATCAGAATGAGAATGATTAAGAGGATTAAAAATGTGTAGTTATATTTCGTTATATAATCTAATAAATTATATTTTAGATATGATCCTGATGACATATATCAAAATATTAAATATGTTAGGATTAAAAGTATCAATTTAATCCTCCATAGACAAAGTGTCTCATCTGTCTAAATACCTTAATACGAGTATATGGACCACTTGACCCCACTGAAGATTGACCACCTCTTCCATATGATCCTCCAGGGGAAGCACCAGGAGCTAAGGGAACAGAAGGATATCCAGTTGGAGGATGAGCAGAAGGTGCGGGGGGATAACCTGAAGGTGCTTGAGGATACGCAGAAGGAGCTTGAGGATAAGCAGAAGGTGCCGGAGGATAAGCAGAAGCAGCTTGAGGATAAGAAGAGGGTGCAGGAGGATAAGCGGAAGGTGCGGGAGGGTAACCCTGATTCGTCGCCGGATAAGAGCTCGGATTAGATGGATACCCTCCTGAAGAAGGTGGATATGATGTACCGTGGCCAGAAGGCGCGCTTGGTGGATAAGTGGGCAGTGGCATCGGTTGTGGCATAAACATAGGCATATTGCTTGTATGGCCGAAAGCGTTAGGATTTATGGGAGGATAGCCGGCGTTGGGATATGGTGCTCCCCCACTTGGCGGGGGATAACTTTGCTGGGGATAAGGAGCTCCCGGTGTTTGGCCCTGGTGGATAAATAGGATTTATAAGAATATTTATTAAAATTATTATAAAATTTAATATTAATTACGAAAATGTAGTGAATATAGGAAGCTTAAATACTAAATCATTTTTTGTTGACAAAATATACCGGGTGTTTCTCAAAAGTGGGTTAGGTTACCCATTATTAGTTAGCCTTAGTATATGGCATAAATCGGGATAGATTGACGTATTCAAATACTTTCGGTCGCTTCCTGTGTCACCGGAAATTACTATAACTTTTGATTTTTAAATGTTTACCATCAGTACAGTAAAAGTTACCTTAGGGTGCATCCACATTATCCTAGAAAAAGCGGATCAGCGTATCGGCGTAATGACCTTCAAACGATTTCCAGTAATTCTATTGGCTGAAATTTTTGACAGATGAAATTTTTGACAGATTAATTTTTCAGCCAATAGAATTACTGGAAATCGTTTCAAGGTCGTTACGCCGATGCGCTTTTTCTAGGATAATGTTGGATGCATCCTTAAGTTTTTTACTTTATTTGATAAAAAAAAAATGTTATTCTATTCATATGAGAGAGAGAGAGAGAATGAAGAGAGAGAGAGAATTATCCTCAATCATCAATTCATAAGTAACATCTCTATGCAAAAGTGTATGTATCAATTAAAACTATAAAATATCTTAGAATATGAATAAAAATAAAATACCTAGGTATATTGTTTTCATATTGACCCCACATAAACTCTCAGATAAATTGACAACATACATAAGTATTAAAAAAAATAAGTTATAAAAATAGAGATATTGATATCAGTTTAAGTATTTTTTTATCATTATAAAAGCTGTTTTATTTAATTTTACAGGGTCCGGCGATAGTGCATCGAGCATATGCAAAATTACTAATTTATTATAAGAGATAGCTATTATTTCTCGATAATACATTAGTTTAGTATTTAACATAATATCTTAAAGGGATAACATACTGGGTGGTGCATCGCAGCGTTTGCAAATGCAAATTTTGAACTGTCCAAATATCAGCCCCCTATTGATTTTACAACCAAGTCATAAGTAGGTTTTTAAAGGTCAGCGTATGCTCAATACACATGCCAATTTTCCGTCGGTTTTTTACTAATTTAAGAAAAACTGCATTTATTTTTAAATTAAAACTAAACAGGTAGGTAACAATGCAAAACCAGGCAAATGTCAACATACCTTGAGTTGTCAACCTATGATTGAATGCAATTTGTAAGTTGTGCTGTTTATGCTACCATGTTATAATACCTACGGTAAGTGTGCCCGATATGCATTTTTGTAATTTAAAACTTGTTCGAATTAGGCAAAAGGCTAAATGTTTTGAAAATATAATTTGACACTGACAAAATTCTAAGTTGACAACTAAAGGTGTGTTTGCATTTACCTGGTTTTGCATTGTTACCTGTTGAGTTTTAATTTAAAAATAGATTTAGGTAGCAGTTTTTCTTAAATTAGTTAAAAACGGCTTGTCCAAAATTGTTCAAATTTGGCATGTGTATTTAGCATAGGCCCAGATGATCTTTAAAAAAACTACTTACGACTTCGATGTAAAATCAACAGGGAAGCCAATATTTGGACAATTCAAAATTTGCATGGGATTTCCTGTTTCCAAAGCCGATCCACAACCCGGTATAATGCTCAAACATATTAATTAAAAAACTATTGTTAAAATACAATTGACCAAACCAATTTGATTTCATAAACAAACTAAAAATTTAAAAGTTCAGTAGACTGTTTATCTTTTAAACCATATACCATTCCTGAGAGTATTCTGTAGGTATATTCTGTTCCATTTTTCTGTATTGTGTAGTTGTTTAGGTTAATATAAGTAGGTGGAATAAATAGTAGTAATTATTTTCTTTTACAGATTTACCTACCTTTTCATAATTTCAAACTATATTATATTCTATGATTAACACCTAATTAAACACAGATTTAAATAATAAACAAATTTTAGGTACTTACTGATTGATATTGTCCGTAACTCATTTTGTCACTTTAAAAAAGGTAATTTATTATTATTAAATTGCCTTTGTTTTTATTTAACACAAGGATAAACACGTACCAATTTTCAGGCACCGTTAACTTGACTATTTTCAGTATTTTCTACCTTAAAATCACTTAAAATTTTAAAAACGAAACCAACTTCCTCAACACGTCAGACTTTCACCGAAGAAATGAGGTTATGTTGGGTTTTGGGTATGAAAAATTCGCAAATAGTGTAACAGAGCGCAACACAAATAAAAATAGATCGTATGAAAACTTTACATATCTTTTGAAATCTGTTCAAGACCTATTTTTAGTTGATAATTGATAAAAAATGTTATGCTTATATTCAAATAATTCAAACCGTCCCTTATAAATCAATTTAAAATTTAAATCATAGAGATTTAAATGTATAACGTAACAAAATAAGTGACAATTATTTATATTTGGTTAAGCTCTATGTGTATAGATTTTTTTCTCATTACGTGATCATTAGTCTGAATTTCGTTTCATTGATAATACAAGGTTTCGACGTCATTGTTGTTCTTTTTGGAATTTTGATGTTTTGCATTAGTCATATCTAGTTATACCAGTACTATTTTCCTCGAATACATTTTAAAATAGCCTTGATAATCATAAGAAAAATGAATAAGTAGGTACTATATAAATAAATGACAGAAATACTACGCGATACCCATCTACGTAGAGGAAAATGTGTCTCATTCTTTGATGACTTTTTAATCTAAAGAAAAATGTATTTTTCAGTTTCCATCTTACATTTTCCATTAATCTATATGGTCTCTGTCCAGCAGGTCAGAAGTCAGGAAATATTTCGACAGACGACATTCAAAAAATGACAGAAAATGGATTTAAACTGCCCCTGTCCCTGTCCCTGTTACAAATTAGACACAATGACTAAAGAATACCTACAAGGACTATTTAAGGATTATTTTTTTCATATTATACTGTAATATGGCCTACATATTGTGCCTAATAGTCCATACTACTTTTGTTACCTTTTGTTACTGTTACCATCTCTCGTGGGGAGATTCCGGCTCAAGGTTCGTTTACTTGAAATCAGTTATCTAAGGAATATTTGTTTATTTAGAATTTGGAATCCTTTTAAAATAGTAGGTACCTATGTCATGAAAAATTTTCTGCGGAAATCCATCTTTTTCGAGCTTTTCAACTTTTAGAATAGCTGAAATAAGGGCTACTTTCGTTTACTTGAAATAAGTTATGTAAGAAATATTTGTTTATTTAGCATTTGGAAGCCTTTTTGAATATTATGTCACAAACATTTTTCAGGTTTTCAACTTTAGAATAGCTGAAACCAGTTACACGAAAACACGTTTCTGTTTTTCATTTTAGAATTTTTTCTATAACCATAGATACACGCAAAAAAAACTTGCGAAAGTGTACCATTTTCATTTACTGATAATATATTGTAAAATATAGCAAGATTTAAAAATTACTTGGCAATTGGAATTCGTAAACGGACGCGTTTTAGCTTATTGGATGTTTTGATTGCTTTAGTTTGGTTTGTTGGTTCATTTTTGTTTATTTTCGTTTTTTCTCGGCACGGTATTAATGTCTATGCTATCATAAATTTGGTTTTTCATTATTTCTTTTAGTTTAAACCTATTTGCTTTGCTCTGTAAACCCGGCATCACTGTATGCCGCTTTTTATTTTGCCTCTCTGTCTGTAGTTTATATTTATCTCTGTCGCATGCATTAAAATACAGACCACACACAGATAAAGTGTCCAGGATGGTATAAAATGTGTGTGACAGCGATCTTCATTTTTTAAACGCAGGATCGCACCTACATATTTTGATATAAAAATAAATCTAAACTGAATATATTTTTTGTATTGGTGAGTTTGATTGTTTATATGACTGTGTTTGAATTTTATGAAAGCAAAAGAAACAAAAATAATAATAATATAGTATTTATTAATAATTATACTGCACTCATTGATTATCACCTTCCCCTATAAGCTTAAGTAAACACTTTTGGTAATCTCCAGAAGTATCGCCCTGAAAAATACAAAATTATTAATGACTTATTAAAATTGTAACCATAAAGATAGATTTAAAACTAATATTGTTAATACTAAGCTGAATTTTAAAATAAAATTGCCATTCTTGCTTAATTTTATTTATAGTTATATAGGTACATATTAAAAATGGTAAATTGCTTAAAACACAATACGAAGTTTATATTTTATAAATCTATAAAAACTTAGGGAATCGTTAAAAAATATCACATTTCACATTGTGATATTCGGGGTTGTAATTTTAACATTATTTCAAAATAGCTTTGGGTCTTACTTTAATTGCATCAGCCAATGTTTCGCCATATTGGATCTCATATATCTTTTTAATTTCCTTCATGTCTACTTCGCATCTACTAACAACTAATCGAATTAGTGTCCTGTCTTTGGTACCAAAAAATCCTTTCACACATTTCCTAAACAATCTAGCAAAAAAGGAGGCTTGGTTTTTGATAGACCTAGTGACCGCAAATTCATTTTTAATCACTTTTCCTATATCGTAACCTAAAAATACAATAAACCTGTTAAATTTGATAATCTTATTTTTTATAACTTTTAGTACCAGTCATTTTCTCGTATTCCTTGAATATTAACTGAAGTTGCTTCCAATTTCTTTGATACAAAATATTGTTCAAAGCGGTTTGATCAACGCCCAAATTCAGTACTCCAATCTTTGCTAGAGCTTCAGCATCATTTCTGGCTTCAGTTATGTCTGTTATGTTATCATCATCTCGGCAGACATTGCAGAGAGATACCATCAGTCTTTGAGCAGTGTTGGATGTACGGGCAACCAAATCGTTTTCTAAGCTGTTTTTGTATACTATTAAAAAATGTGTATTCAATATCAATTAAACTTTTAGATACGTAATCGAGGGCGCGATTTTTAAATTCATTGTTGCCAACCATGGCAACATATTCGTCGCCGGGCTGACTAACTGGAATTTAAATTTCCCGCTGGGGATTCAGGTGGTAGCTCTGCTGTAAAAATGTCAAGTTGCTACATTCATTTATTTATTTCCTGACATTGTCATTTGTTTTGACACTTTAGTTTTGTATGAGTTTGGTTTGGTGATATTTTATACTTAAATTTTTTTATTAGCAGTCGAACATTATTCTTGTTAGAACCTCTTTTAGTGCGAAGTGTACAAGATAGCTTAATAACTGTTAAAAACTCATCGCGACATTATTAGAATACTTTGAACGGGAAATCGGTAGTAATGGCCATTTATGTCGGTTAAGTGCTTTTAAGGAGGTAAGTTTTGTTGATGTAAATGATAACTGTTTATATATTTACAATTAATTTTATTTTTGGTTCCTAAACTATTTTGATTAAAAGAAAATATGTAAAAGTGAACAACGCTGTGCCAGTCAAGCTTAATCACGCCACAGAAAGTTTATTTGGTATGAACTATACTATAGTTTTAACTGTTAGTAGTATTACTAAGCCAGAATATGCTTTCCAATACTAGTTCTTCCTTCTAATTTGATTAGGTATAAAAATAAGATACGACAAATATTATTGGTGTTGAGTTTGGAAACAGCAGTTGATATTTTTTACGGCTATCCAACAAGTCAGGGAAGATTTCGTCAGACGATATCCAAAAAGTAACTTAACTTTAAATTACAATAGCAGAAAACAACTATCACAATAATATATTTTCTCTGCGAATAGAGCTAGTTAATTTTGTAGACAACCTATTTAGATATCTAGAATATTATTTTAATAATAGGTATTATATAGGCATTTATGACATCAGTAGTTGGTATTAATCAAGTACTAATTTTGATCAAAAATGTTTTTAACCATTGTTATAATACCATACAATTGAAAAAACGGCGGCAAAGACGGCTGGGGAATGACAATAGATGACAATTTTGGCGAGGTCAAGCCCTTGACGTCATTTTCTTGGCCAGCACTTTTCATTATTTTTTAATGACGATCATTGCCAGTTTGTCTTAAGCAGATTGTAATTTATCTTTATATTGAGTATCCCAGAAAAATATTTTTTTTTGTCTGGAAACGTTCTACCCTTTTTTAATTTTTCTATAATTAGTGTTAATTTTTGACAAGTTTTATGTCAATTTTTAGTAAATGACGTTTACAGATTGACCTCTCCAACATTATCATCGATTGTCATTCTCTAGCTCTCTTTGGCGCCGTTTTTTTTTTGATCATATGGTATATGATTCTATTGTGTTGTATAAAATGAGGGGAGAAGGAAGATAATAAGTAAGAGCTACTCGTACATATCTAAATTGTTACTCAAGGACTTATTACTTACGAAATTATTCTGTTATTGTCTATTTTGGCTGTGTACATCAAAACATTTCTTTGAATTAACTAACTCTTATTCTTCTAATCTCCGTTTTTAATCTTCTATTAAATAATATAACACTCAAAACTACATATAGATTCATTGAGTGACGTAAGTGAGTACTAAGAAGATATTTCAAAATCCAACCCCTAAGGGAGTGAAATTAAGAATGAAAGGTTGCATAAAGCTTTGTTAAAATCTGTTATAGGAGTATGAATTTTTTTATGAAATTCCTTAGGTAACGTAGCTGAGCGCTAAGAAGCAATTTTTTGAAATTGGACCACTAAGGTTGGGAAATAAGTGGCAAAATAAAAAAATAAAATCTTTCCTAGGAATCTGAATTTGGCACAGGAGTTCCTGAAATTATGCAATTGACCAGTAAGAAACAATGTTTGGAAATACAGCCATAGGAAAACTAGGGATGAGAATATAAGGGGTTGAATTGAAGGGTAATTGTTGATGCATGAAAAAAAAATCCTAGGAGTATAAAATAACCCTAAGTAACGAAAGTGACTTACCCATATATATACATATATATAAATAAAGGATTTTTTTTTGGAGAAATGAGTGTCTTGTCTATTAATAAAATTGTAGCCAGTTTATGTTGTAAGTGACTCAGAAGCAATTTTTGAAATTTCATATTCTATGAAGGTGACATTAAGCGACGAAAGTGTGTACGAAGTAGGAAATTCATCCCTTAAGTGATTTAAATTAGGGGTAAAAGTTTAAAGTAAGTTAAGGGGTAACAGTTTTTTTTAATTGGTTGCAGTATGAAAGTTTGTGCAATGAATCCATACTGACAAAAAGCGATTTTTGGAAACTCATCCCCTAAGGAGATGTTTTTTGTTGGTTAGGCAAGTTGTTTACAAATAAATTCTTGCTGAGATGCTGGATTCCGTTTGATCTAATCCAGTGGAGTTCTATAAAAAATATCTATTTGATTTTTGGATTTCTGCTTTACTGACTAGTGACGAAATACTCAGCTTTATCTCACCGCAACGTTATAGATATTATTTATTACTTACATGTTTGGTACACTCTCCTAATAGCTACAATCTCGTGGTTTGCTTTGGTGCATAAAATTTCTATTAAAACATCTTCATCTGTATCAGCTCCTTTCATCGCACGGTTTAATTCATTAGCATAGTACTCAGCTGGTGGAGTCATCATAGCTTTAAGCAATCGCTTAAAGTCTCCTGATGTTTCCGATTTTAAATCTTTTAATAAATCCTAAAAATATTTTTTCGTTTAGACTGCTTATAGTGTACCCATCTGTTTGTTTACCATACCTTCCCATAAAGGTCTTTGAACTTTTCGGCAATTTTCAGCCTTTGTTCTTTAGTTCTGCTGGCCAAAACTTCGATAATGTCGTCTTCATTAGTACCAATACCGTACATGGCTGCTCGTAAAATAGCAGCGTCTCTTTCTGGATGAAACGGATAAATTGGAAACAAAGTAGGTGTTTTCTGGAAAAAATGGAAAATGAGTATCTTAAAAAATGTATATACCAATGTGGCGGATTCATCTCTCCAAAAAAAATCTTTTATGGGTATTTCGCCACTGCACTGCCAAAAAAAAAATAAATGTCATTTTAACAGAACGTCAACGGTTTCTTGTAGACGTATCTGTTTTAAAAAGTAAAGTGTTCTCAAATAGTTGAATTTAAATATTTTAAATAGTTTTTTTCTTTATTTTTTGTATTTTTTTTTTGCTTTCGACGACGGAAACTTTCCAAAACGTTAAGTATTTTTTTCTTTGTTAGGCAAATTTTTATAACTGTAAACATAACTTCTGACAAGCAGTGTCCGTTTAGGTTTAACGCCCCCAGAAGTGTTTACAAAAAATAACTATTTTATTTTGTAGATTTTCTTGCAGTGCAGTGGCGAAATACCCATAAAGGATTTTTTTTGGAGAAATGAGTATCTTGTCTATTAATAAAATTGTAGCCAGTTTATGTTGTAACTTCTGGGTATTTTTACTAAAACAAAATAAGTAAAAACAAAAATATGTATAAGAGCACAAACGCACTGACGACCAGGTCGTAGTGATCAGCCAATGGTCAGGCTATTAAATCAAATTGTCGGTCGTAGCTTGGTTGCTGCGACCGCGCGACCAGTAATAAAAAAGCATTAAGTGGATTGGTGGTTGGCTGGTAGCTGCGACCTGGTCTTCAATTCGTTTGAGCTCTTAAAGCTCGACCAGCATTTGATTTAATGGTATTACTGGTCGCAGCTTTGTGTGGTTTGCTGACCAAGCTGCGACCACTTGATTTATTTTTTTTATTATTTGATTTGGCTGGTCGCTGCAATCTGGTCGTCAGTGCGTTTGAGCTCTAAATAGACCACTACGTACATTCGAGTAAAAGAGTGGTAAAACTAGCCAAGCCAGTCAACCGAGCGTAACAATTACCGAAACTAGAGCAATATAAACAGAGAACTGGAAGGAATTTGACTATTCTGGTCATAATATCTTTATATTTAATTAATTTTGGCACTTTCATATGCATCTAAGTGTCTGTAATTTGAGATTTGTATAATTAATTTTAAATTATTAATATCTATACAATGTCCTTGATTAACAATATGTTGAGCAACGCAGATTTATCCGGTCTACCATATCTTATCTGAGCCATATGTTCTTTAAATCTAGTTAATATTGATCTTCTAGTTTGCCCAACATATTTCTGATTACAATCTTTTCATGAAATTTCATAAATACCCGACCTTTCCAGTAGAGGTGTTTTGTCATTAGGATTATCTCATAATTATTGTAATTAGCACTACTTATACTCAAGTATATAATTGATATTCTTAAAAATTATTTTTAAACCACGGGATAACTCTCTATCAAACGGTATTGAGAAATATTTTGACGTAGATAGGTACCTATCTTTCTCCACTTGAAAAGTCGAATTTGCAGAAATAGCAAAATTATACCTACGGATAAATCTTGCGTTGTTGAACATATTGTCGAAAAAGAACATTGTATAGATTATAATAATTTAAAATTAATTAGACAAGTCTCAAATTAATAAATGTAAAGATAGTATAAACAGAGACAATGGTCCAATTTCTTCTAGTTTTCTGCTTATATTGCTCTAGTTTCGGTAATTAATCGTTACGCTCGGTTGGTGTCGACACGCTTGGCTAGTTTTGCCACATCTACTCGGTACCAACTGAGAGCCTATATTAACACTCAATTTGTAGATATTAGTTTAGTTTTAATCATCTGCCGATAATGCTGGTTAGCGAAATGCGCGTCCTGTACAAAAGTAAATTGTTTTGGTGTATTGTGGTGAGTTACTGTTTTATTTTGCTGTTGTAGCACCAAGGGTCCCAACCCTCAGCTGTAACCAATGTTTTAATTATAATTATTTTATTTTAGAAACATTTCTACCAGAGGAACTTAAGGACAAAATACGTTAGATTTTTATATCCATAGTCATAGGATAGGATAATCATCCGATTATTTGAGATTGATTTTGTTGCCATTTTCAAAGCCATATGTTGATTCGAAAATTTTATTTTGTTGCTTCTTTAACAATATTATTTAATTAGGTTATTGTTATTCATATTTTAATAGTTGTCTTTACTTTAATAATTTAGAAGATAGTTTTAAATTATTTTATATGTATACCGGGTGTTTTTCAAATGTGGCTCATTCCTAAAAATTTTAATTTTGTTAAATAAAAAAACGAAATTTTTGGTAGTATATCACATAAATCGGGATTGATTGACGTACTCAATGTGTTTCGGTCACTTCCTGTTTCCCCCGAATGACATGTCATATGTTAACTTTTGACATTTTTCAATTAAAATAATAGAATTTTAAATTTCGATCTAGAGTGCCATAGCTGTGATCAAATCTTTAATTTTTAATCATGGAGCCTTGGAAAAATAGATATGAACGTCTAATGTTTTCGTGTCTTGTCCTGGGGCCTGTAACACAAAATCTACAACTGTAACAAGCGTAGAACTTGTTGAAGATTCACTTCAATTCGTCAGCTACAATTCCTGTTAATTTCTGTAACACAAAGTTCTTAAAATGACTTGTAATAACGGCGAATATTTCTAACAAGTGTAGCTAAAGTGCACAAGATTTGTAGGACAGACGCACTAGATCGGTAAACGTTCGTTTGTGTATCAGTGCGTATGGGTGGTAAAATACTTGTTTAGACAAGTTCGTTCTAAAATTAATTTTGGTTATTTTATTTTATTTTGGTTGGAATACTCCTGTTTTGTAGCGCCGAGGAGAGGTCTTCTACGAGATCCTGGCATTGCGCTCTACTTCGTTGAAATCGCTCCTCAAATTCTTTATCGGAAAGGAATGCAAAGTCAGTTCTCTCTCTGAATCGATATGGCAGACGAGGTTCATTTTCGTCATCACTTGAACTTGACCACATTGCGCGGGACGTGTGAATAAAGCAACTTCTTCTAAACTGATTCTTGTAGAATTTTGTACCCACCTTTTCAGCATAGTTAATATTTTCCTACAATTGTAATGGAATGCGTAACATAAACTTACAAGTGTTATCTTTGAGTTACAGAACAGAACTACAATTGTAAAATATTTTCCGTAATTATAAGTCCTACACAGGTAAGTACAAGTTGCCGTGTGTTACGAAACTTTACAAGTCTCTATCCAAAAGTGTACAAGTGTAGCAGTTGTAGGTCTCCGGTCGGTTTAAAGATGCCCTAATCGTGGTTTCAATTATAACTTTTTCAAATGGAACGGAGGGTGGCTCATCAAAATATTTGGAAAAAGCATTTTTTTACGAATAATTTGGTACCGCATAATTGGTATTTGGAGTCAAATTTTCGTTACATTAATTGTCGTGGTACTCTATTGAAATTTAAAAATACTATTTTTTAAGAGAAAATGTCAAAAATTGACATATAACATGTCATTATCTTCAGAATGTCATTTTCTATCTCTCCATCCAATAAAGTAAAAAAAAAAATACCAAGGGTACCATTTAATACTAAAAAGTTATAGGTTAGTCTGTGGTTATAGTCATTTTCGGTGAAGGAGGAAGTTGACGAAAGTAATTGAATATGTCAATCAGTGCTAATTTAATATGTCATATACTAACACACCAAATCTCGTTTTTTATCGGAAAAAAAAATTATACGGGTCAGTCACTTTTGAAAAACCTCCCTGTGTAAAATAAAAACAATATACTGTTACTTACCGTCTCTCCAGGAGCCTCATTTCCTAAGCAATCTGAAAAATATAAATGTAATCCCACATCATACCGGGTATATCTTGCCGAAAGTACATTTACAATTATTGTTTAGATGTATTTCTGTAGAACATTGGAAAATATCACAATATTTGCTAATACAGGGTGAGTCTTAAATCAGTGCAAATATTTTCAGAACCGGTAAACCTCGATAAAAGAAGCATATTTTCTTTCTTTACCCTTTTTCAAATAATTACAAAATAACCGAGTTATTTTACTTTGAAAATTTAAGAAAAAACTAATTTTTTGGTTAAATTTTGAGAACCACTGTATCTTTTCTGGGTGTTCTTTTTGTAAATTTGATCTACTCCTTATGGTTGCCATATTAACAAGATATTATGTTTTTTACTTAAAATTTAAAAAAAAAATCAATTTTTTTTCATTATATTCCAACAGTAAGTTTATTTTTATTATGTTTTTCCTTTTCGCTTTTGATTATAAAAGTTTTGACATAGACTTATTTTTTCCGATAAAAGTTGGACAGTTTTGGAAATAATGTTTACAAAAGAGCATCATGAGTGAATTAAAACAATTCAAATACTTAATACTAACAGCAAAAAATCTGCATAAAGTATCTTTTTAAAAATACTGATAAGAGTGGTATATTGAACATACAACAAAGTTAATATAAGGATGACCTCAATACCTAATTAATAAGTAAAATGTGTATTAACAAAAAGCTTTTAAAATATGTGTGTACTATTATTATTGTTTAATGATTAAATGTACTGATATTTATAATTTATAAATTTAGGTATTATAAAAAACTTTTTTTAGTATATCTTTAGTTGCTTTTATAGAAAATTAATATATTATGTACTGATATCTTGAATAATTTTAAATATTTTACAACAATGAAATCCAATATTACTTACCTTGCGCTGTTTGTCCCAAAATCGCATTTAAACAGAAAATTAAAGCTAGTAAAATACATTTCCGTGTCATACTGAATTTGTTTTACTGGTCAACACTATTGTTCTTAGCCTATGGTTTTAATAATACTAAATTAAGTCTTTATAAGATACGACTTGAGTTGTTTGAATGACTGCAATACATAGTGAATCGCAAACAAATAAAATCTTATTAATAATATTCGTTTATTGAATCTTATAACTTAATTAAATCTATTTTTATGAAGGCCATGATTTGCGTTATTCTCTGTTGTCAAACTAATGGAAAGACAAAATGAAATATCATATTATTTTAGCCAAAAAAAAATTATTCAACTATATGATTCTTTATTAGATACATCCTATATTTAATACGCTTATGTATCTGAATATCAACATCTGACCTTACGGTCAATTTTTGTATTCCGAGAAGTAATTCAGAAATTTATTTGTGGTTTTGAAAAAATGACCATGTTAGTGACTAAAACAAAGAATAATATGCGTAAGTAAAAGGAAGTCTGTTTTCATACGCTTTTTTATTTTTTTTAAAGGTTAAAAAAATTTGGGAACATAAGGTAATACCAAAGGTAATACTGTACCTATAAATCTACATGTAAGTTATTAGAACCACTCTCAATAATGGTTTTATTATAAGTATTAGGACACTTTTTAAAATATGCACTTTCAACATGAATATATACTTAAGAATGTATAACTAAAAGGATTGATGAATATGGAAAATGACTCTAAAAAATTAAATACTTAATTTTCCAACTTTGAAATTAATAATATATCTATCTGTTCACTTTTATATTAAAAATTGCTAAAGAATGATATTATATTTATTAAAAATTAAACTAGAGGCCATAGTAGGAAGCAGTCAAATAGAAAGAAGTAATTTCTAATCCGCCATATTGGTATCAAATAATAATGTACAGGGTGGTCAGAATTGGTCTGTTTTAACAGAGAAAACCTATTTCCTGACTAGATAGAGCAAAACCGACATAGATGTCATGGGCTCGATTGCTGAGACACGTTTAATGTCATAAACCGCCTGTTGATATTTTCACTGCTAACTGAGATACGGGGTCTTTTTGAATTTTTTACCATTTTGAAAATTGCCCATAACTTTTTTATTTCGCGGAATAATAAAATTCTGTAAAGACGTTCTTTAGCCACTTTTTTAAGCTCAATCCAGTGGCGTAGTGAGTTTTTTTCTATGCTTGCCCTTTTTATCAGAAATAATGAAAAATATAATTTTTTAAATGGCTTCCCAGCGCCGCGCCGCGCAACGGTCTAGTGGGCGACAACCTTAAACCGCCTGTTGATATTTTCACTGCCAACTGAGGTACGGGGTCTTTTTGAATTTTTTACCATTTTGAAAATTACCCATAACTTTTTTATTTCGCGGAATAATAAAATTCTGTTAAAAAGATCACACAATTTAATATTCTATATTATTATTTATCTGCATAATTAAAGACTTTTGAAAAGGTAAATTAACATTCTATATTAGTATTAATAATTACAATTGAGATCGATACAGTAAACAAAGAACAAAACTAAAACGAATAAAGTTTTTTAAAAAAAATCATCAAAGATGTTCAAACCTTGTTGAATACACAATAAACATCTTTTGCGCACAGAGTTACTGTTAGTAGAGTTAGGCGAACTGGTGTAAGAAGTCCAAAAGCTTGCCTAGTAGCCTTCTGAAACCCTTCTCTCGTCCTAATGGTTCTTCCCTTATATATAAGGCCTTTTAATTTCCCTATCGAAAAGTCGAAAGGAGTTACATCACATCACAGGACCTAGCAGGCCAAGTTGATGGGATCCCTTGTTTCAATCCAATTCTCTCTAAATTCTCTATTAAATAGTGCGGTTGTAGCCCTGGTTTTTTAATTGTAAATATTGTAAATGGTACTACTAATATAGAATGTTGATTTACCTTTTCAAAAGTCTTTAATTATGCAGATAATTAATCATATAGAATATTAAATTGTGATAAAAAATAATTAGGAAACTAGGTCAACACAAAATCAAGGCCTGCTTCGATACAAAGATAAAAAACCTAATATTTCTCTCATTCTTAGAAATAAACACACATATCTTTATATCGTTGGAAAGGGTTAAACGCCAGCATTTTTTTAAGTTCACAGCCAACTATGATTTCCATTTAAAAAATTATACTTTTTAATATTTCTGACAAAAAGAGCAAGTATAGGATTGTGCTTAAAAAAGTGCCTTAAGAACGTTTTTACAGAATTTTATTATTCCGCGAAATACAAAAGTTATGGGCTATTTTCCAAATGGTAAAAAATTCAAAAAGACCCTGTATCTCGGTTGGCAGTGAAAATATCAACAGACGGTTTACGCCATTAAACGTTTCTCAGAAATCGAGCCCATGAGATCTCTGTCGGTTTTGCTCCATCTAGTCAGGAAATAGTCTGTTATAACAGACTAATTTCGACCACCCTGTACAGTGTGTCCCATTTTGGTTGAAATCATAGGGTATCTCCGTTATTAGTGAAGATAGAAGGGTGCGGTTTGCACAAACCTGTCCCGCTTTTTTGTCAAACGGAAGATGCTGCAAACAAAATTTTTATAGCCCTCTTCGTTCCTGAGCTACAGGGTATTTTCGAAAATTTTGCATTTTGGGGCACCCCAATCTCTGTTATTATGTTATTATGAAAGGTATCGAGAAGGTGAAAACCGATTCTTGTAGATTTTTTTACGTAGAATAGAGTGGCGTGGTCTCTTTTTCTACGAAAAAAATATTTTTGAAAATATGAACTAAAGTTGTTTTTTCAAATGAAACACCCTGCATATTTATAAATCGTATGATCCGTCTTGCTATGAGCTTCTCAAAAATATATAACACTCTATATTTATTTTCACTATTTACTGCAATATTTAAAATCATTTTCTTATTAGTAGGTCGTGATATACATATAACAAAAAAATCAAAATGTGATATTTACTAAAATAGTAATACACATATTAAAATTTTATTTAGGACTGAAATATTTTACTTTTAAACTGTTACCATTGAATCTCTAAATATGTTTTTTTCTTCTTTTTTATAACAGGATTTATTGTAACGAAATTGGTTTGCAAATATCTAAAAGCTTCCTCCTAGGTGCCGTCTCCGATGAGGTTGGCGACCACTATGGCAAAAACTTCCCTATGTTGGGCTCGATGTATTAAAGTATTCCCGTTTGAAATATTTCTCCAATCTCGTATACTTCGAAGCCACGATTTCTTCTTTCTTCCTATGCCGCGCTTGCCCTCGATTTTACCTTGAAGTATTAGCTGAAGCTGTTCGTATTCTTCGTGTCTCATTATATGCCCGAGGTAAGCAGTTTTCCTTATTTTTGTTGTGTTGACTAAGTGGGTACGGGTGTTCATTCTGGTCAGTACTTCCACATTTGTTGTTCTAGTGGTCCAGCTTATACGTAGCATTCGCCTATAAAGCCACATTTCGAATGCCTCCACCTTCCTGAGGTCCTCCTGTTTTAGGGTCCAAGTTTCGCACCCGTATAGCAACAAAGGCTAAACGTAGCACTTGAGTGTTCTCAACCTTACCCTTATGGACAAACGCGGGTTGCAGAGTATGCTTCGCATTTTAACGAATCCTGCACAAGCGATTTCTATTCTCCTTTTAATCTCTATAGAGTGGTCGAGCTGACTATTTATTTCCCTACCCAGGTAACAGTACTTTTGTACATTATGTAAAGTGGTGTTATTAACAACAATGTCCAATTGAGGGTGATCTTGAGAGGTCCGAGAAAACACCATAGTTTTGGTCTTAGATGCGTTTACCTCCAAACTCATTCTGGTACTGTGCTCTGTTAGGATGTTCATCAGAGTCTGTAGCTGTTCTTTACTGTCCGATCACTACGTTGTCATCTGCGTAACGGAGTTTGTTAATTACTATTCCATTTAGTTTAGCTCCTTCAGTTCGATCTTCCAACGATTGTTTGATTATGTACTCCGAGTACACATTAAATAACAATGGGGAGAGGAGGCAGCCTTGGATATCTACGTAAGAGGTGTTTCCAGTTGATGTTCGCACCCCTTATGGTTCCAGTATATATTACGAATTACAATGATGTCATGGTTATCTACTCCCATTTCCTGGAGGATGTCTATTAGTTTTTCATATTGTATGCGGTTGAAAGCCTTCTTATAGTCTACGAAGCAGACATAAAGATCCTTCTTTACCTCCACTCCTTTCTTTACCTTCTTTACCTCCGTATCTTTCAGCTATTAAGGTTAGGCCCAGGATGGTCTCTCCTGTTCCTGTTCCTCTTCTGAAGCCATACTGCGATCGACTTACGTAGTTGTCGCACTTGGAGCGTATCCGATTAAAAATGATCCTCATCATTATCTTAGCAGCATGGCTCATAAGGCAGACGGACCTGTGGTCCTCGCACTTCCTTGATTTATTCTTCTTTGGAAGAGGTACGAACGTAGAAGTCAGCCAGTCCTGGGGTAGGATACCTCTTTCGTAGATTACCTGATTATTACCTGTAGATTACCTTCCACGATTACCTTTCGCAGCTTACCTGATAGCATTTTCCAGGTCTTCGACATTGTTGTAGTTGTCACGATATATTTCATATTTCAAAAATCCCTAAATATAGAAATCGAGAACGGACAAATCCAGGGCTTAGAGGGGCTATAATATGGATCCATTGGTCCCAATTCATTGATTTGGGAAATAGTCATTTAACAAAATTCTAATATTCTCAAAGTTGTGAGGGGAACCCATATTGCTGAAACTATAATTCACGTAAATTATCAACCAAGATTTAGAAATAGCGGTAGAGAGTTAAGTTTCCCCTCGAGTTTCATTTATTAGTGGCTTCCAAAATAAAACAAGTGACAGATAGCAGCTCTGTTAGCAGTTTATATGTTTAATAATTCTTTAGTTTCTTTTATTATCAATCATGGCCTACTAATAAAAATGGTCTTTTAATGAAAACTTTTAAATATTGCAGTAAATAGTGAAAATAAATATAGAGTGATATATATTTTTGAGAAGCCTATGGCAAGCCAGATCATATCATTTATAAATATACAGGTTGTTCTATTTAAGAAAACGTAAAACGTAACTTTAGTTCATATCTTCAAAAATATTATTTTTGTAGAATAACATACTACGCCACTGTATTCTACGTAAAAAGTTCTACAATAAACCCATCATTTCATTTCGATATCTTTAACAATAACAGAGATACGGGTTTCCCAAACTGCAAAATTTTCAAAAAGACCCTGTAGCTCAGAAACGAAGAAGACTACGAAAATTTAGTTTAGTGCATCTTCCGATTGGTGAAAAAGTGGGACAGGTTGGTGAAAACCGGACCCTTCTATCTTAACTAATAACGGAGATACCGTATGATTTCAATCAAAATGGGACACCCTGTACAAAGTGAGTGACTCTTGAGTCTCTGAGTTTCTTATTAGTGAATTATGTTTGCCATTATGTTATATTTCAGATAAAATTGACTTCATCAAAAAACATATTGAATATAAGCATGGTGCATTCTCCGACAGTGCTGCCACCATCGGATACTACCGTAAACAACCGTTCTTTTTCACTTAATTTTTACTACTCGAAACAGTGTGTAAACTACATCACACAAACTTCATACCTGAGAAATTTATAGTGTTAATAATATAATAATGCACTAGTAAAAACCAAAATACTTAAATATATGACATAGAAAACTATTCCAATATTATTTCAATGGAATTAAGTAAATTGTTGTTACCTATAATGGTGAGAGATTGGTGATAAAATAATGACACACTATTATAACTAAAATATTGGTTTATTATAAAATTTACGTATGTATAGTAACAATATTTCAATAAATAACGGTCTCCAAAATATGTTTGCTCTATATTTAAGGCGTGAGTGGCTATTTTAAAAAACCAAGCAATATAAAGTATAAAGATTAAAGCTAGAATGTTGTGCAGTTTCACTGAATGGAGTAAATCTCAGAACTATGTTTAAAACGTAACTTATCCTACAATAGTAACTAAGGTCTTCTTGTAATCTCCTGAGGTGTCCTGCTGAAAAATAAACGAGTTAGTTCTAATAACGTAAAAAAGTGTGACACAGAGGAAGCTAAATAAAGAGAAAAGCGGTGCATTATTATAATGATTAATTATTATAATGATTTTATACAGTAGCGGGTAAGTTTAGAATTGTAATAAATAATGTAATCATTTCAGTTAAATATTAAATATTTTAAAATGTGCAATAAGACATCTATACATGGATACATTCCCAGACTTTCAGGTAAATATACACAGCTGCATGTAGATACGCAGAAGTTGTGATATATGAAGGTCAATATACCATACGATAAAAATAGCGTCTAAGACGGCTGGGGAATTTTTGCGAGGTCAAGCCCTTGACGTGGCCTTACATGGCCCTTACTTGGCCCGTATTCTTCTTTATTTTTTAATACCGTTTAATGATAGTTGGCCTTAGGAAGGTTACTAATTTATTTTTATATTGAGAAAAAATTATTTTTAAACGGTGTAGTTTAAAATTCGAGAAAAAATATTTTTTTTTAGAAAGAGATTTGTATATCTGGAAACGGTTAGGGGAGTTCTACCCTTTTTCTAATCTTTCTATAGAGTTAACGAGTAAATTTTTTTAATGTGAATTTTTGACAAATTTTATGTTAATTTTTAGCAAAATACATCTAGAGATTTATCGCGGCAAAATTATCATAGATTAATTATCATTCAAAGCCATATATAACGCCGATTTTTTTCGATAATACGATATTATTACATGAACATTACATATTGATAAATATTAGATTAAGAGAGTTACATTGCTCTGACTGCAGAACGTTGGAGAGACCATAATATGATTTCCTGAATACAATCTGATGAAAATATGATTTGCGGTAATAGAAAAGGTAGGAACCATTGACTAGTATTACTTCACGGTTACAAAAGATGTTGAATCTTGATATAGAAAAACAGAAATACACCTATCGAAAAGTAGCACAAACAATATGTGCGTTACTACCTGTACTCTAATGACAGGCCATAGATATAAATGAATATAGTAATTTAATATTTACCTAAAAAGCATATACTAATACTTCAGTTTCTATGAATTACTAAATTACTTCACACAAAACAAGAGTTAAGATTTTCTTTCTGAGGATACTTTAATCTTTAATATTGACAGTTAAATAGTTGTATCTCTCATGACAGTGGCCGCCAGGGCTAAGTGGCAAGTGGTCTGCAGCCCAAGAGTACCGGCTGCATAAGTGCTTTGAGCGATCACTGAGCCGTCATCCCAAGGTATGCCATGACGTACCATCTTGTGCATCATTTCATTGTACAGCCACTCAAATTCCGTTAGAATTCGGCTATAAACAGGCGCTGAAGTACTCACGGCAGATCAGAATTACTTGCAAAAGGTAGTTTAGGCTCAATATATATCATGATACGGAGCACTGTAAGAAGAAGATACATTTTGAATCCAACCTTCGGATAGAACCACTTCTAATAGTCCATCTCGGAAAAAAGTTACTACGCACTAAATGTGAGTTGTTATCAAAAAAAAAAGTTGAGTACCTGTCAGGGAAGCAGACAAAGGAAGGATTCAAATTAAAAGCAGACGACTTCTCAAAAAATAGCATCTAAAATAAGAGTGTGGAGTCTAATACATCACGGACAAACTAGGAGGAGGCTCACCAACCCTAAAGTAGCAATAACAGACACACCTTAAGGGAAAGTATCTAAAAAGTAGAAAGTCTCAATCAAGATTAGACAGCGATAAGGATATTGATTACCTTGAAACCCCTCTGTCAAACATGACACGGAGGGAATGAAATTAGAGTTTGGAAAGAAATTGGCAATCATTGAATTTCTCTGAACAAATTAATGGATTGGACATCATGTATCATGTAGCACCATGATATATGTATTTTGGTGCATATCCGGCCCACTGACTACGTATGTAGTCCATTAGAATCGCTTGTAGAAAAGTAAAAACATAAATACACCCTTTTTAATATTCTTTGGCGTTATATTTTATAGGCAACTTAAAGAATACATGTTAAACTTAATTTGAAAAAAGAACAAATATTTCATGCACTGATGAATAATACGCTTCAGTTAGTTACTAAACTTGCATAAGCTAAATTTATTAATGGCACTTGAAGAGAACAAAAATAGTAGTCCCATCCCGCTTGATTACAAAACTTTTTGATAGTGGTTATATTAATGAAAAAATGTCTATACCTCTGTGGCGGATTCATCTCTTCATAAAAGCCCTATTCATTTTATATTGGTGAAATATCTAGACCCTTAAATGTTCGAGTTAAAGAATATAAAGATTATTTAAGGAAGGGCGATTTTCACAAAGCTAAGATTTGTCAGCATTCATGGGACACAGGGTACAGGCTAGGTTTTAACAATGCAAAAATTATTATGAAAGAAGCGATATATAAAAGAAGCTTCTTCTATCGTCTATAATATATTGGGTGGCGTATTTCCATAATATACCATGTAGAGAGCATAAGGTCTCTAAGTCCCGCCCCCATGCTTAGTTCAGCAGTGAAGATGACTCTAACGCGGTATAGAATGGAATTGGGAAATGCCCCAAAATCGGGTATAGTTCGTAGTCGCATTACTGGCGTAACCTTTGATAGTATAAACAGTAATATTCATTTATGTAAAATAGTGTATGTCTATTCTTTATCATTATATTAAAAATAGAAATATCAACAAAAACAAGATTTATTTATTAAATAATGTTATATTATCTTTAATTATTAACTAATTATTTTTTGTTTAAGTGTCTTATATTTTAATTAAATTAATCATTAAAATATAAGACACCTAAACAAAAAATAATAAAAAAACATTGCTAGTTCCTGTTAAACAGCAATGCTCAGCTTTAATTACAAACATTAAAATACCAATGCCCTTTGGCAATTGGGGTATTTTCGGTGCTATTTATGCTCAAGCACCATTTTTTCTTTTTTAGTTTGTTCTCTTCTGATGGCCTTCCTGATGAGCCTTTCTTGCGAGCGCGAACCATAAGTTCTTTAGAATAAAGCTCTTGGTTGTATTTTAAATTACTTGTTTTTTTTTACAGTTTATTGTAATATTTATGAGAATTGTTTTTAACTGCCGTTCTGTATCAATATTTATGATCTGACCATATTATTAAATCGTGACCATTATTAAATTGTGTTAATATTTCTAGCTTTTCTATTCCTGTGTTAAACCTAATATTTTTTCCATATTCGTTTTCAATAAAAAATGCTGATCTTCAAAACTATCTTCACTAAATCATTGAAGTCCCACAAATATAGGTGTATCGCTACTTACAGCACTATTTTTTTGGTTAATAGCCAGTTGTTGACTCTTGTGAAGCTGAGGCACTTTACATATCGAGAATTTCACTTCATGTTTTATATTTTTAACATAATCTCTAACATACTGTTTCCTAATGTACCTAATGCTTCCCACCAAGCGAGAAACCTCACATTACATTTGCAACATTGCAGACATTCCCCAAACAGCTTGCTTTGTAATGTTGATTTGTAAACGTTTTGCCGTGATTGATGAAACTTTGCTACAGAAATATTGTTTTTGAAAGGCGATAAAAACGTTTTTTCTGCAACATTGCAACAAAGATTCAAATGAAGATCCGCGCAAGTTGTTATTCCAACTGGCATATACTATACCGCATTTGGCACATTATCCTATTCCATTCTATACCGCGTTAGAGACATCTTCAATGCTGAAATAAGCTTGGAGGCGGGGCTTAGAGACCCTATGCTTTCTACAAGGTATATTATAGAAATACGCTACCAGGTGCGTCTCAAAAGTGGCTCACCCCCTATAACTTTTTTGTTTTTTCAGATAAAAAATCGAAATTTGGTATATTAGTATATGACATAAATTGGGATTGATTAACGTATTTAGTTCTTTTCGGCCACTTCCGATTTCACCGGAAATGACTACAACTTTTTATTTTTAAATGGCACCCTCGGTATTTTTTTACTTTATTTGATAGAAAATGACATTCTGAATAGAATGACTTATTATATGTTAACTTTTGTCATTTTTGCTTAAAACAAAATTTAATTTTAAATTTCAATCTAGAATGTCATGGTTGTGTTAAAAACACTAATTTTTATTCAAGGAGTTTTGGAGAAATAGATTTGATCGTCTAATGTTTTTTGTGTCTTGTCCTGGTCGGTTGAAAGATGCACAAATCGTATTTTTAATCATATCTCAATGTTTTCAAATAGAACGAGGGTGGCTCATTAACATATTTGGAAAAAGTATTTTTTTACGAATAATTTGGTTACACACACTTGGTATTTCGAGTCAAATTTTCGTTACGAACCGCAAGTTATAATTTGGAATAAACCATGCATATGCAAAAATGTCAATAGTTGACATATGATATGTCATTCTACTCAAAGTGTTATTTTTTATCAAATAAAGTAAAAAAATACCGAGGCTGCCAATTTTTCGATTTTTAAATCAAAAGTTGTAGTCATTTCCGATGAAACAGGAAGTGATTGAAAACAATTGAATACATCAATCAACCCTAATTTATGTCATGCACTAACATACCAAATCTTGTTCTTTTAATAAAAAAAAAAACAAAAAACATATAGAGGTGAGCCACTTTTGAGACGCACCCGGTATAATAAGCATTTCATTTTTGTCATATATGCAATAAATCCGTATGATAAAAAAAAAACGACGTCTAAGACGGCTGGAGAATAACAATCGATGGTCATTTATTAGTCATTTACTAAAAAATTACATAAAACTTGTCAGAAATTCCCACTAATTATAGAATAATTAAAACAGGTCAGGAGAGAGCTTAGTAATAGTAGAGGGTAGTAATGTATGGCAATCGCTTCTTCGATTTTAAAGAACATAATATGAATAAAGATATCATAGCAAAATAAAAACACTAAATCACCACAATACACCAAAACACTTTTACTTTTACACTGGACGCGCGTTTCGCTAACCATGTTAACATCATCAACAGATGACTATAAACTAAATATATATATAGTTTTATAATCATCTGTTGATGATGCTAACATGGTTAGCGAAACGCGCGTCCAGTGTAAAAGTAAAAGTGTTTTGGTGTATTGTGGTGATTTAGTGTTTTTTATTTTGCTGTGTAACACCAAAGGTTCCAACGCTCAACTGTAAAGATATCATACAGATTAAAAACAAATTAAAAAATAATCATTCAGAAAGATTGAGGCTTTTTGATTTTACCTCAATAAGTAATTGTTAACAGGTAGTAAATGTTAATTTTGAAGTTTAACTTGATATAATGTCATTTTAACAGACCGTCAACGGTTTTTATAGATGTATCTGTTGAAAAAACTAAAGTGTTCTTGAATAGTTGTATTTAGATATTTTAAATAGTTTTTTTGTTCTTTGTGTTTTTTGCTTCCGACGCGCGACGCGGCGACGGGAAGAGATATGCTTCCCGAAACGTTAAGCATTTTTTTTGTTTGTTAGGCAAATTTGTTTACTTGTAAATCACTGCTGAAAAGCTGATTTTCTTACAGTCAGTGGCGAAATACCAATTGGACTTTTTTGAAGAGGTTATATTGATTTTTAACACAACTACCGTATTATTGAGAATATGTCTTTTATTCGCTTTAAAGCATTTTAAATCTCAAGAATATGCAAAAATGAGAAAGTTATTGAATAGAAGCCCCGCACCAAGCTGTACCAAAACGCCAAAAATAAAGTAACTTCCAACTGTTACGATCTCAGACTTACTTCAATCCTTTCTGCCAAACTCTTGTTGTATTTAGTGTTGTAGACTTCTTTAATCTCTCCCAAATCTACTTCCGATCTTCCAACGACGATTCTTATTAACGTTCTGTCGTCCGTACCAATTCCAGCCATCGCATCGTGGAGCCTGAAGTAATACTTTTGGTGTTAAATGGTTATTTTCCTTTTTAAAACTTTTGCTTACCTGGTTGCTAGAAAATCTACTGGATCACGAATGCAACCAACCAGCTGCAACATGGAATCTTTAATGGTGCCAGAAAACTCGTTTTCGATAGCTTGTTCGATGGAATGACCAGTTATCTCTTCGTATTCGTGGAATATTCTTCTTAGCTGTGGACGATTGCGTTGACAAAGAACCTGTATACATTATTAATTATTATTAATAAGCTTAATTTAAATAAAGTTAATTTTCAATAAAAACATTTACAATTCGAAAATACGTCATTCTAGCCGTTTTAAGCAATTTAATTACCTACTTATACAGGGCGAGTCTTAAATTAGTGCAAATATTTTTATTTTCGCAAAAAAAAAAGAATTTGAAAATCGTGCATTTCTTTTAGATTTTCCTGTATATTTTTTGTAAAACCTCGCAATTAGTGGAATAAATTAGCGGTTTCAATTACACTTCATACTTTTTAGTTTACGATCATTTACAATGTTTAAAAAACACAATTAAAATTAATAGAATATCCTAGCAACAGCTTGCGTTAGTAAGTCGTATCCATAGAGAAAACCTAATATTTAGCTTATAAAACAATCAACTTTTGATTTCTAACCACAATTTCTCTTGAAGGATTATAATCAAAGGCCAAAATGACATTTCTCGCAAATTTTGAAGTATAATTAGTGAAAAGTTAAAAGCATGTTAAAAGTTTGATAACTTTCTCTACTAATTGAAAATGCCTCCCACTAGGAACAAATTTCTACGCTAATTGAAAACACTAATTTATTCCACTAATTCCGAAGTTCTGAATGAATCTTTAAATGTAATAGCTTGTTAGTAATTATACTATATTGAGAAACTATGGTTACGCTCGTTGAATTTGACACTTTACGTCAGTTTAATGATATATATTATTACAGTTGAGGGTTGGAACCTTTGGTGTTACACAGCAAAATAAAAACACTAAATCACCACAATACACCAAAATACTTTTACTTTTACACTGGTCGCGCGTTTCTCTAACCATGTTGAATTTATAATCATCTGCTGACAGGGGCGAAGCTATGGGGGGTGATGGGGTGATGGGGGATGCTCCTCTCCTCCCCCCAATGTGTAACTGAGTTGGGAAATGAGTCATGACAACGCGACGCGACGTCTAAATCCCAAATTTGTCAAAAATAAAAAAAAAATTTGCCGCTGCACTAATGTGAAGCGGATATTGCCATCAACTTAGATAACAAAAAATAATAACAACTTGGGCCACTTTGAAGACCAGACGACTAGTCTATACTAATATAAAAAATCCTTAAGTGACTGACATACTGATTAATCACGCGATCCTGCTCAAACCACTTAACGTAAGAAGCTCAATTTTGCCATACAGGTTGATTCTAGGGTGTAGAGGTTTGATAAGAAGGGATTTTTCGAAATTCCAGTTCCAAGAAGGTGAAACCACCCCTCAAATATTACAATATTTTTTATTTAAAAAACGGTCAGGTATCCGAAAAAACGCTTAAACACGTATATGTTATTTTGTTTTATTACATATTTTAAAATTTTTTAAAAATGTATACAGGGTGTTTTGAAAAATCTGGTAATTGATTAATCACGATCCTGCTTAAAGCGCTTGACGTAAAAAGTTGATTTTTGGAAAACAGATTGACTTTAGGGTGTAGAGGTTCGATAAGAAGGGATTTTTCGAAACTCGAATTCTAAGGGGGTGAAACTATCCCTCAAATATTAAAATATTTTTTATTTAAAAACCGGTGAGTTTTTCGGAAAAACTCTTAAACACGTATATTTTATTTTGTTGTTTTACATATTTTAAGATTTTTTTAAATTTATACAGGGTGTTTCATAAAATATGACCATTGAGTAATCACGATTCTGCTTAAACTGCTTGACGTTTAAAGCTGATTTTTGGCAAACGGATTGACTGTGGGGTATAGAGGTTCGATAAGGAGGGGTTTCTCGAATCTCAAATTCCAAGAGGGTAAAAATGCCCCTCCAATATTACAATATTTGTTATTTAAAAAACGGTTAGTCCTCCGGGAAAACGCTTGTACAAGCATAATTTATTTGGTTTTTTACATATTTTGAATTTTTTTAAAAAATCATACAGGGTGCTCCAAAAAGTTGGGTAATTTCTTAACCACGATTCTGCTTAAACGGCTTGACGTAAAAAGCTTATTTTTGGCAAACGGATTTTTCGAAAGTCAAATTCCAACGAGATAAAACTACCCCTCAAGTATTACCAAGTTATATAATAATATCGCCATATTGTTTTTCTCATGCTGACATAAATGTGAGAAAATTGAATCTAGTTTGTATGTTAATGGAAATTCTTGCTTTGCTTTATCATCACCATTACAAATGATTAATTCGACGCGAACGAAGTCGCTGGTACATGCTAGTTATTAAATAAAATATTAAGGATGGTACGATTTTATTTTAATTTTAGAGTTGTTATAACAATAATTATTTATGCATGTTATAATGTTCAATAATGTTAAATTTAAATTTTAAATTAATAAAACAATCTTTTTAAAACAAGGGTTTTTATTCCTATCACGATACATTATTACATGTATTATGGCCTTTAAAAAAAAGTAGGGAGTTGGGAAAATTGCTTGTCCTCCCCCCACCCAAAAAAAAACAAGTTCTAGCGTCACCACTGTCTGCTGATGATGCTAACATGGTTAGCGAAACGCGCGTCCAGTGTAAAAGTATAAGTGTTTTGGTGTATTGTGGTGATTTAATGGAGTTTTTATTTTGCTAATGATATATATTCGTACTTTTATGCTTAAGCGTCTGTTTACGCCTAAGCATAAAAGTACGAATATATATCGTAAAAGTGCTTTACTTTTATGCCTAGGCGTTAAAATAACTTTTTCATATTTGTCAATCATGTCGCAAAGACTAATACTTTGGTGACGTTTAAAGAAAATCATTTTTTTTAGATTTTCAAACTTTAATAACTCGGTTATTTTGGACTTATTTGAAAAACGGTAAAGATATAATTGTTTATTTTATCGAGATCTAGAAGCCCAGAAAATATTTTCACTTATTTAAGACTCACCGTGTATAGCAAAAGTACCTAATTTTATTATTTTGCCTCTATTGTGATTTTTACAATTCGATAATTTTAGCTAACTGTTAAATCTAAAGCCAAGTTTATCTCAATAGAGAAGAATACGATTTAAAACCAACCATCATATTATGATTTTATTAAATGGAAGACATTATTAAATAATAAAGTCAAATTGTATTTTATATATATTTTCCCCTGAACATGTAGTACAAATAAACACTCTAAACGTAACTATCTATTAATATAATTGGGACCTGTTTGAGGTTTTCCGTTTTAAGTGTAGTAAAATTAAAATTAGAATTATAGGTGAGTAAAATTACGAATATGTAAAATACTGTTTTATAATAATGTACTGATTATGATAGTTGCGATAAATTATAACTCACCATATTAAATACAGATTCATCTGTTCCAGCGAACAGCAATTCACCAGCCTGTAATAATTCCTGAGCATCTTTGCGTGCAGCATCCTCATCAACATCATCAGACTCATCTCTATGTCCCTTAAAATATCATTAAAACATTTTGATAGAGTTTTTTTAAATGAAAACCTTGGTAGTTGTATAATAGACATTTAATTTTTTTCATATGTTGTGCATGTTACGTTATGTTGTGCATAAATACCGTATGATCGAAAAAAACGGCGTCAAAGACGGCTGGGGAATGACAATCGATGATAAATTTGCCGAGGTCAATCTCTAGAAGTCATTTGCTAAAAACTGACATAAAACTTGTCAAAAATTCACACTAATTATAGAAAGATTAAAAAAGCACAGAACGTTTCCAGACACACAAATCTATTTTGAAAAAATTATGTTTTCTCGAATTTTAAGCTACCACTTAACTCGATATAAAAATAAATTACAAGCTTCTTAAGAACAACTGGCAGTAAGCGCCAGCTTAAAAAAATAAAGACGAGTACGAGCCAAGTACCTAAATGACGTCTAGGGCGTGACTTCGCCAAAATTATTACCTAGCGATTGTTATTCCCCACCCGTGTTTGACGCTGTTTTTTTATTCGATAGTATGGTATCTTATTAGAGTTAAATTTTCGTCATGTTTACCTTCACAATTCAATTGTCGTAACAAGGAATATCCAATTGTACTACCATGTAGTAAAGTAAACATGTAATTAACGATAAGATTTTAGATTAGTATTTCGATAAGATCATGCTGCATGGCTTGGTTTATATCATGCCGTTTTTAGCCATATACTAATATAGATTTATATTGGGCGATAAATAGAAAAAATAATGTTACAAATAGGGGGGGGGGCGGCATTTTAAAAGAGTAATTGTAATATTTGCGCTCCAATAAATATGATAGTATAGCTGTCTTTTTTAACTTCTTTTGTCTTAAATATCAATTACAGTTGAGGGTTGGAACCTTTGGTATTACACAGCAAAATAAAAACACTAAATCACCACAATAAACTGGTTTATAATCATCTGCTGATGATTTTAAAAATGTTATGGTTAGCGAAACGCGCGTCCAGTGTAAAAGTAAAAGTGTTTTGGTGTATTGTGGTGATTTAGTGTTTTTATTTTGCTTAAATATCAATAACGGTATAATTGAAATTTATATTTTTAATAAATAGCACATTATTTGAAAGATTATTTAATTTTCTTTAACAATAATTAATTATTCATTCATTATTATTATTGAATAATTTTTTTTTCTCAGATTTATTTTTCCGCAAATTCACCAATTTTCTTAAAATGATGGAGTCAATTTTTAAATTTAGATTATCTTCAAAATAGAGCTACGATCTAGTTTCGAAACACCAGTTCACGATAGTTAAGCGACGTTAGACAATGCGAGAGGATGGACGGGGATGCCTCTCTGGAAACTCTGTCCTGCTGTTGTATTATGGCAAGAGTGTAAAATCTATTGACGCACACTGCTCATTCTCGCCGCGCCGGTTTGAGGCCGGATGAGATCGGATATCTCGTGAGTAAGAGTCGATTTAGATACTCGCACTCGCCAAATATGAGATAATCTCATGTTTTATAGTTTTCAGAAGGATAGGCTGCATTTTCACAACACCATCTTTATATAACTTCAAATTTCAAACTTAATTATTTGTATGTATTTTTAAATGAATGTTGTTACTGATTAATAGTAATGATATGTTAAACTGGTTAATTGTGTTTAAAAATGCCTGTGTTTATATTCTATAACGATTGTTCTAAAAATAGCTAATTATATTTAAATATTCCAAATTGCCTTGTCTGAAATGATTATTTTATAAGAATCAACTTATATACTTGTAAATATCGTATGATCGAAAAAAAACGGCGTCAACTATGACTATGAAATGGTGAAATGAAGATCGCTGTCATTTTATGTGTAAAATTATATTGGGAATGTCATCGATCGTCATTGCTAAGATTCCAAGCCAACTGGACAGCTTTTTTATCATACGGTATATTAGTCTTTATTTCAGACATAAATGTTATCACATAACACTAAATAAATTGGTGTAATTTGCAGTGTGATAATCTATCCGGTGATAACAGTTTTGTAAATCAAAATTACATTTTGAAGAAACATTGACAATAAGTATTTTCCATTTTTAAAAGTTCTTTCTCCACTCTTTACTTTTTTGTTTGTAACTGACGGGAGGAGATACCTCTTGAAACGTCAAGTGTTTTTTCTTGGTTAAGCAAATTTGTTTACAAGTAAAAAATCACTGGGAAGCTGAGTTTACGTTTGGACTCTCACTTCCAATTTACAAGTCTTATTTTTAAATTCTGTTTCGTTCATTCGTTTCAAAATATGTATATGGATTTATGTACTTCACGAACATCCTGTATATAAATAGTAATTTGAACTACTATACTATATTATTACGACAAACAACAAAAATATGAAAGATGGCTGTTAGATATCCAGTAACAGTGTAAACTATATATGTAAGTATTTATATCCGTCATCTCGTTAACACGACCTTGTGGATATACTTACTAATTTATGAGAAGGCGCATTATATACGCATTTTTACAACTTTTACGTGATAAAATTTAATGTAATACGTAATAATACAATCTGTTGTGTGTTTACTCACATTTGCCAGGGAAACAAAAAGTCGTTTTAGGTGCCCCGACGTGTCGCCTTTGATATCCGCTTCAAGAGATGTTTGGTACACTGAAAAAAAAAGTAGGTTTGTTATTATTAAATTTTTTGTCAAATATAAATTCTAGCTTTAATAAATTCTATATGCAATCTGTTTTATTTTCTCTCCAAAAAATCTTAAATGGGTATTTCGCCACTGCAAGAAAACAGACCAGAACATCAACGGTTTTTGTAGACGTATTTGTTTTAAAAAAAATTTATGTGTTCTCGAATAGTTGAATTTTTTTTAAATAGGTTTTTTCTTTATTTTTTGTATTTTTTTGGTTCCGACGACGGAAAGAGATAAACTTTCCGAAACGTGAAGCATTTTTCGTTCGTTAGGCAAATTTGTATATCTTTAAACCTAACTTCTAAAAAGTAGTTTCCTTTTGGGATTAACCCCCCCCCCAGAAATGTTTACACAAAATAACTATTTTATTTCGTAGATTTTCTTGCAGTGGCGAAATACCCATATAGGATTTTTTGGAGAGATGAATCCGCCACACAGGTATAGACATTTTTTACTTTTTTTTTCTCTAATAGAATACAGTTGTTATTGAATACAGTTGTTATACAGTTATACCTTTGTTGTTACGTCAGCAAAATGAACTACTAGTTCGCCAACAGCAAAATACTTTTCTTTTAACTGTGTTAACTGTTTTTTTAGTTCTTTTAACTGATTAGGACTGTTTTTATCTGTTGATGATGCCAACATGGTCAGCGAAACGCGCATTTGAATCATATTGTAACTAGAGATGAGCAAAACTGCGATTTTTCAATCGCGATTGAAACCGCGATTGCGATTTTTAAATCGTTGCGACTGTAACCAGCGATTGCGATTTTAATATTTAAATATTGTACTAGGCATTTTATTCAGTGTCATTTTCTATCGAATAAAACAAAAGTTGTACTTATTTCCGGTGAGACAGGAAGTGATCGAAACGAATTGAATACGCCAATCAATCCTAATTTATGTCATATGCTTACATACCAAATCTCGCTTTTTTATCAGAAAAAATAAAAAGTTATAGAAGCGAACCACTTTTGAGAAACACCCGTTATATTATGATCTTGACCCTAGAAAATAATACCTGCTCTATAAATAAATAAAATGAGAGAAAAAATTCCATCGCAGTTTACTATAAAATGCTTCAACGGACCACAAAATTAATCCAATCAAAATCGTAAATTGGAACTATAGTAAGAAAATGGTTGCCGAAATTGAAACTAGCAAATAGAAAAATTCGCAGTCGCAGTTTCCTATTGGAGCCAATCGTAGGTTGCGATTTGTTGCTCATCTTTAATTGTAAATCAACATCAATCTATTTTTGCTTTATGGAAAAAAAATAGCAAATAGAGAAATTCGCAGTCGCAGTTGAAGGACTATTGAAGCCAATCGTAAACTGCGATAGCGATCTTTAATTGTAACGCAACATCAATCTATTGATGCTTTATGGAAAATTAATTATGTACTGTAATTTTTATACACGCAGAAATATACTAATTTATGTATATAAATTAGCCCACAATTTTTAATATAAATATCTACCATTTAGAAATACAAACCAAATATGTGATAATGCTACATTTTACCAACTATTATTTAGCACTTTTGCTAATTCTATATTTATATTATAGTTACATTTTGCAACTAAAATTCGATATTTAATACTAAACAATGCTAACAGAATAAACGTAATTAAATGAATTAAAAGAATACACAAGTCAACTAACAGTACAATAAAGGATTTTAAATTCTAAACGCACGTTTTGCTAATCATGTTAGCATCATCAGCCGATTAATAAAACTGTTAATAAAATATGTAACGTTAGCTTGAATCATCTACTGATGAAGTTCACGTGCTTAGCAAAACGTGACTTCGGCATAAAAAAATAATTTTAGTGTATTGTGTTTGATCTGTGTTAATTCTCCAGAGAGGAAAATTAAAATTAATTTAATACAATAGAGTGTACAGTATAAGTTTTGAACTAGAGATGTAAGTTTTCTTAATTATGTTAGTATCATCAACAGAGGCTTATAAGTAAAATTAATAAAGTGTGTTTTGGTAATCCAAAATAAGTGGTATCGTGTATATGTCACAGCTAAAACACAGAATATACTGTGGCAAAAGCTAGATCAGAGAATCACTGAACTAGTAAAAGTATATGTAACGTCAGTTTGAAATTCATTAATTTGTTGACAATACGTCAATAAAAGTTCAACAACTAATTTTAGTAAGCCGAGACCGAAGGATCACCAGCTTTGCCAGAGCTCCTATGTAAGGACATCGAGTTGGCGAGTCATTAACTCGAGAGAGGAGGGTCATGGTCGTCAGGTTCAGAATAGGGATTGAAGAAAGAATACAGATTGACCTCAAATCCAATGAGGCAATAGAGAAAGAGAGAAATATCCTCCATTATAGATTCGGGACAACACCGGTTAAAGAAGTGCAGTTAGAGTTAAAGAGGTGGAGAAAATGGAGACAGATCCTCCAGCGTCCACTTCACAAGTACCTCAGCCGGAGACAAGCACCTCGACTGGGAAGGAGACGGAGGGCTACACTCCCAACCGTGAAAAGCTGCATGTATACCCTCGTAGGAGGTAGATATCCACTCCTCGGAAGATGAACATCTGTTGTCAGAGAAGGATGGGAAATACCCAGTCCCCCCTATAACAGGAAGATCTCCATGTATGATGAGTTATAACTCAAGAAAGGAAGACACACTCGATCTTTAAGGCCGTGGTGATTAACCTACCTTCCACTCATTTTACATTCTACTGGCACTATTCACTTCTAACAATTTACTAGTAAATGTCCACAAATTTCTTTAAAATACGATCACGGGCCCATTGCGTAATTGTTAGCATTTCCTAGTGATTGTTAAAATTTACTAGATTTCCGACTTTAATTATTGTAACATATTTATATTCATATACACAAAAAATCCTATATGGGTATTTCACCACAGCAAGAAAATCTACAAAATAAAATAGTAATTTTAACAGAACGTCAACGGTTTTTGTAGACGTACCTATCTGTTTTAAAAAAAAACTACAGTGTTCTCGAATACTTAGTTGAATTTAAATATTTTAAATAGTATTTTTGTCTTTAGTCTTTGTATTTTTTTTGCTTACGACGACGGAAAGAGAAACTTTCCGAAACGTTAAGCATTTTTTTGTTCGTTAGGCAAATTTGTATATCTGTAAACCTAACTTCTGACAAGTAGTTTCCGTTTGGATTAACGCCCAGAAGTGTTTACAAAAAATAACTATTTTATTTTGTAGATTTTCTTGCAGTGGCGAAATACTCATATAGGATTTTTTTGGAGAGATGAATCCGCCACATAGGTATAGATATTTTTTATATTTAATTAGTATTATTTTGCTGTTTCAGCGTCAATGGTGCCAATGTTAGTTGTATGATTATCGGGTTTAACGCCATATACTAATAATTTTTAACGACATAAGCCTAATTTAAATTTTGGAAACTCAGATAAATATAGAAATACGTTCTTACATCCTTCATAAGCGTTGGCAATGTTAATAATATCCTCGTTGTTGTGGATTCCAATAATCTCCACAATGGTACTTTCATCTGTTCCTAGTCCACTAATTGCATGATGGAGTTCTTTAGCTTGGAACTCGATGGGATCGGTCGTCAGAGCAATTATCACGTCTTCAAAATTTCCTCTCAGTTCAGATTTCAGTTCTCTGATCAGATCCTAAAACCACATAAATTATTAAAAGGGAAGCAATAGTTGGATCGAAAGAAGTTTAAAGTTCAGATTTTCTTGCTTTTCATTTTCCGATGAAAATTGGTCATAGAAAAATATTATATGAGTGCAATATCAATATACAGGGAGGTCCGAACTGTATTCCGAAAACTTCGGTAGCATATTTTACAGATAAAAATAAGTAAAAAAGTTCGTATAAATTATAGTATAAGAGCGCTTTCACACACACCGGCAAAATCGGTGCCGGTGCCGGAACTGAAATCGATTGCAATATAAATAGATTAACTCCTTCACATATACTTCGATCCGGTAAAATAGTCAGCGACCGGCAAATACAATAAAATTAAATACAACTGTCGGAACGGGTGCAAAGCCGGCGCCGACTCCTGCACCGATTTTGCCGGTGTGTGTGCAAGCGCTCTGTCGTATAATGCTTAATTTCGGAGATACAGAGTGTAGAAGTTTCATTTTTATTTCGATTTTTCCCAAATAATTTCTGAAGTAAGGTCAATATTTGGATGAAAATTGGTGTTTGGGAGTTTCTTGACATGAGAAATTTGATTTTGATGTCCATATGATACTTACTTGTAGAGGGCGACACCTACATATTTTTTAACTGGTTTGAAGAGTAATAACTTTTCGTCTGTAAAGGACATTGTTTTTTGCGTAAAAAAGGTAAAAAAAGTAATGATTCTCGAGATATTTGGAATCGAAATTATCAGTACCTGTCATCATTGACATACATTAAACATGTTGACTAAATAGTTATCAGAGTGAATAAATTTGAAATGTTGTTGTGCTAAAAGTTCAACAAAAACTGTTTTATCGTCATTTTTTAGAAGAAAAATGTTAATAAAAAGTTCCCAAATTTATTATTTCAGTCTAAATAACTATCTACTCGACATCTTTACTTTTTGTCAATAATGACATGTATTGACTATTTCCATTCTAAATATCTTGAGAACGTTTGCTTGTAACGATTTTTACTGAGAGACATTTATTACGTAAAAAATCACGGAAATGTATATTTCTTCACTCGCTTTTGTTTGATTCAGGTACGGACGAAAAGTTATTACTCTTCAAAACAGTTAAAACACATGTAGGTGGCGTCACCTTCAAGTAGGAGTCATCACAGTCAAATTTCTCATGTCAAAAAACTCCCAGATACCAATTTTTATCCAAATATTGACGATACTTCAGAAATTATTTGGAAAAAAGCAAAATAAAAATGAAAGTTCTACACACTGTATCTCCAAAACTAAACATTTTAGGACCTACGTTTATAGGAACTTGTTTACTTATTTTTTTTCTCCAGAATGTGCCGCTGAAGTTTCCGGAATACAGTTCGGACCACCCTGTATAGGTATGATGAAGTCTGATTTGTAGAAATATGAAGAAACAATAATCAATTCTTATGGAAATAAAAACAATATTTTTTATGAGGTAAAATAAAAGCCCCGTTGAGCATATTTTTTGGTTATACAGTATTTGAAATATCGTAATTTCAATTTCAGTCGGATATTACAGAAACTCCTTTGATGAAGCCTTGGTGTCCAAATTAATAAAATATTTGTTTATGTCTTAAAGCAATTTTTAACAAAATTGGACGTCATGCGTCAGATAAGTAGATGCATTGCAATAATAATTGCTCAATATTTGTTCAAATTTACTTTTGAATTTTTTACATTCTAATTTGGAGAGAAATTTGCTTTAATAACTTCATTAAATCAAAGCAATCATTAAAAATAAATCAATTTTGATCTGACTGTATGGGAAACACTCCTGCATAAAATATTTATTAATACACATCAACATTTCATATAAAATAATATTTGTAGCTGCTAAACATAATAAATATATTATTTTTATCCTTGCGAAAATAAATGTACGATAAATGGTAAATTTAGTCACACTTTAATACTAATTTGACAAGACTAAACGTAACAATTTATTGTTGTATTACGTTCAGACAGTTAATATACGAGTGAGATTATATTTAGTAGCATCATTTTTATCACATTTGTTTTAATATCTTCTGTTATTTTTTTACCTCGAAAATTACCAATTTTTGTTCATGAGGTAAACAAAATAAAATTTTGTTGGCATATTAGAATAATTATTTTATATTTTAATATAAAATTATAATAAAATAATTTTAGAATATTTTTTGACTACTTTCTTAAATAATTTTATATTACAATCTTGTTTAACTGTCGGAAAACTAATTTATAATATTTGTTCCAAATAAATATAATTTATTGTTGTTTGCAGGTTTGGTGACAACCATATACGTAGGTTTATATACAGGGTGTCCCAATATTCCGTGAAAATAGAACCACTGCTTTTTTTGAAATCAAATAAGTTCATTGGACACAATGGTCCGTCAGAGGTGATCAAACATTAAAAAAATAAACACATTTTATAAAATAAACTAAAAACCGTTATTCCGATTTGAATAAGATTTGGGGTGCTTATGTTTTAAGGGTAAAAAAAAGTACGGGAAGGGTGAAAACTACTACATAAATTTTAGTATAAATATTTTCTTTACCGACAACCATTTTTTTTTCGTAAAATGGTCCTTCTCGTTTTCCTACATTTTTGTCTCTTGTAAAAAACGCACCGCGCATTCTTTTTAAGAAAAAAAAAATTTCGAATCTGACTTCCAAAAAATGTCTCATATCCCATCAAGCTATGTAAGAGCATCAAATCCATTATGCGCTAATCTAGTTGGCAAAACTACAGAATTTTATGTTACAACACAAATGATATTTGACAATAAGCTCTCTCTCTTCATAAATTTCAAATTAATTAACGTTTGGGTTTATTTTTGATTGGTGCCCTCTAACGGACAAACGAAGCATTTTGTACAGAAGTAAATTGTGGCTAATCAACTTATTTTGATTAAAAAAATACATAGCTGTTCTATGTATGTCCACTCAACACGAACAGCAGAGGCTGAGATAGGTACCAAAACTGTAGCTGAGATAGGTACCAAAACGCAAGGAACTCCACAAGGTGGAGTGATCTCCCCCCTACTGTGAAGCTTGGTAGTGGATGAACTACTGGAAGAATTAACTCTAGCGGGAATACACTGCATAGGGTATGCAGATGACATAGTCATCATTGCACGGGGGAAACATGAAGGCACCCTGTGTGATATTATCCAAAGAGGACTCCGCATCGCTGAGAGATGGTGCAGGACTGTCGGGCTAAGTATTAATTCAGATAAAACCGCAGTAGTGCCATTCACCAGAAAGCGAAGAAAAACTTGAAAAGAATCCATCTAGATGGAAAGGAAATACTGCCATCACAGGAAGTGAAACATCTGGGAATAACCCTGGATAGTAAACTTCTCTGGAACAGGCATATTAAGAACATTACCAGCAAAGCCACAAAGGCTCTCATGATATGCAGAAGACTGGCGGGAAATAGGTGGGGCTGCGCCCCTAACATTTTGCGCTGGATGTATACCATGATAGTAAGACCCATGATTACTTCTGGAGCAGTTGCTTGGTATACAAAACTAGAGCAACGTACAGCAAGGCAAAATCTGTGCAAAGTACAGAGACTGGCATGTATCTGCATCACAGGTGCCATGAGAACATGTCCAGCAGCAGCAATAGAGGTCATTCTAGACCTAACAGCACTGCATATTGTCGTCGGTAGTTATGCCAATGCGACAATGATTAGAATGGTCATTGACGGAAACAGTACTGAGAGAATTTTCAGGTCAGGGGCTTGGAACACCCTCTAAAAGAAAATTCCACTTCTCCAACTCCCAGTGGATGACATACCAAGAATTTACAACTTTGAGAAACACCTCACTGAAGTATTGAGTAATAAAAAGAATTGCAAGAAAGAAAACATAGGCACCTCAAATTTTATTCAAATCGGAATATGGGTTCTTAAAATAATATCTTAAAAAATATTTTTTTTTAAAGTTTGATCCCTCTAACGGGCAAACGAAGCACTTTTGTATAAAGGTAAATTGTGTCCAATGAACTAATTTTTATTTCAAAAATAGGCAGTAGTTCAGTGTCCACGGAATATTGGGACACCCTGTATTTAATTACAAGTAATGAAAATAGTTTTTTTTAAATTGTTTAAATAAAATGCATCTAGTATATCACAAGTTAGCAATTAACATATACTTAGTTGATAAACGAAAAAAAAACGATGGATATCTTAATTTTAGTATTAATAATAATAATCCTAGAAAGGTTAATGAACCACTGAGGAATTTGTTCTTGTGGATTCTCAATATAGCAGCAGAAAAACACCATCTTTTGTTATTAACTGTGTTATTTTAGCGATATTATTCCTAGGAGACTAAATATACAGAGTGACTCTGGCTGAGTTTGGATTAGAAGTAGGTCTATTCAAAACTTCATTAACTTAAGTTCTCTCGTAATCAACATTAAGATCTCACTTGTTATCTTATTTTAATATGGTGTCACTTTTAGAAGTTGGGAAGTGAAATTGATAATTTATAATCGGAATTATGAGACTTTGACATGCATATAAGCGCTGATCTAGATATTGTTCTAATGCAGATACAGTCAGAAATATGTATATGTTACTGTAAATGTCCGAAATGCGGTAAAACCTAGGATAAGCACAGTAAAACCTAGGATAAGCGCGCTAAACCTAGGATATACCAATGAATTAACACCCCCTAAATAACCACGTTAACCAACTCGAAATGCGGTAAAACCTAGGTTTGGTTTTTTTACCGCATTTCGTACGTTTACAGTGACATATAGATAGAACTAATAGAGTAAACATTTTTTAGTTTTCTTGGTTAGTGTTAATAAGCGACATATTATAATATAATGAACATTAATATCTTTTGTTTCCTTGAATTTTTTTTTTTTAATCTGGACTTTATAATAGATGTCATTACAAAATGTATTTCTGTTAAAATATGTAATAAACCACAGCAGGCATATCAAAGTTTATGCGTGTATATATCTCGGTTATGGATTAAACTTTGGTTATGGCAAAGTTTACTGTTTATAAGATTTGATAAAGCTATCAGAAAAATATCTTTTAATAAATATAAAACGAGAAATAGGCATAGTGTAAGTAAGTGATGTCTAGACGTCGTGGCTTTACGTATTTTCATAAGACATTATTTAATTGCCAAATTAAACAGACTTTGTATTAAATTGACTTATTGAATATTTATATGTAATAAATTCATTTAACCACATCAACCATTTAATGAGAAATTTTTCTACAAGTCATTTTTAGTTATAGGTATATTACATAAAGTTCTAAACAATCCTGCGAAGAATAGTTCATGAATAGTTATAGATTACTTGCAAATACGTTTTATATCGATCTATTGATTAAATATGTATTCCATAAATCTAGACCATGACATCGAAATTATAGGAACATTCTACACAAATAAAAAAATTGCGTTGTATTACTTTATAAAGGAAAGTTTTGTTTATAATTTATCTAATAATTAATTAATATTGTTTGTGTTTTTTTTTCTTCTTTAATGTTAGGTTGTGCGATGTGTTGTATCTATTAATTCAATAGACAATATCCATAATTTTTAACCTAGCATAGTCTAAGCATCCCATCTCTTTAAATCTTTATTTCAAGGCTGACGTGAGTCATAATGACACACAAATTAGATAATTTAAATTAATCACATCCTAAGAACTATTGATTTATTATTTACATGGAATCAGAGCATGATGCAGAACTCGACATGTGATCTTAGATTTATTTACCTTTTGTGTAAATTATTGTTATTGGCAATTCCCTAAAATTTTACTTATATTTGTTAATTTTAACAGAGAAAATGTCACTTTAAATATTTTGTTATGATGTACTAATTATATTTAAATCGTGCCATATTACAGTTCATATTTCAAGGCTAGTGTGACTCATTGAAAAATTGAAAAGATCTAAAACAATCATACCATCCAAAAAATTAACCGCTAACAAGTTTAAGTTATTTAAATCAGTGATCAAATAGTAAATAAAACAAAATTATATTTTTGGACGCAATTCAATATTTAATTTTTCTATTTTTCCTTACCTTTCCGTACATTGTTTTAAAGGTAGCAGCAATTTTTCTTCTTTGGTCATTAGTCCGTTTTGCTAAAATTTCTATAACTGTATCTTCATCTGTTCCAAAACCTTTGAAAGCTTGCTTTAAAGCCTTAGCGTCGGATTCTTCATCAAAATCTTCCGCAGGAAACACAGTTGGCTAAATTACAAATTGTTTGTTGTTTAGTAACAACATGAAATGATTTGAATGTTTATTTAAATTTTTGCCGGTTAAAAAGATATTACATAAATTTAATACTTACAGATCTACCCATTGTTACTGTGTATCAACAACCAATTTTGCTTGAGTTAAAAGTATTAGAATTATTTATTTAATTTAATAGAAAGCACTAAAATTAGGTTACACAGGAAGTACACAAATTATTAGCCTGTAGACGAAGCAAGCAAGAATGGGAGAGGAGAGGCTATAAAGCCAAAGACCTTTACAAACAGACAAAACCTGCTATAGCGTTGCAGTAACAGTCTGTATTTGCAGTGCGCAGGCCGCAGGAATATCAGGGCTGTCGCAGTATGAATAGATTGTACGAAATATACGACGATATCTAGCTAAAAGTGTACTGGACTTATTTACATCCAATTTTCATGCAGACAAAAAAGAGAGAACATGATTTTTAAATTACGAAACTGACGTATCTAATAATATAGGTACCTACTGTTCTTATGATCTAAACTGTGGAAGCTTATCTATGGAAATTGGATTAGTTAGTATTTGTGTGTACTCGGGGAAAGCATTTATCATTATATACAGGGTAGCGCAGCTTATTCGTCTCGGTTGATAATACGAAAACGGAAAGATGTAGAAACAAAAATTTTTATGGGTATATGTGGGGAGGCAATGTGCATAATTTAAAATTATTTTGAAATGTACAGGGTGTTTCAAAACTAAGATCCATATCAAAGTTATATTTTTTCTTATTAAACACCCGGTACTTTATTTCATTTTTGAATTTTTGGACCTAAAAAAGGCATTTATTATAAGGATTAAATATGTTTAAAAACTTTTGTTTTTGACATATTTAAAGATTTTTAAATATGCATGCTATCTTTGAATGCGGTAGATGAATGTGGAATGATTCAGTATTGAAACTAAAAGAATTTCGTACTTTCAGCGGATTTCGATAAACATAACGTTTCGGTCAAGAGGATTACGGACCGTTACCAAGTGTAAACTCAAAACAGTTTACAATTGATAGTGATCAGTGATCCTTCTGAGCGAAATGTTGTGTTAATCAAAATAAATAAAGACAATGGAAGTCCGAAATTCTGTTAACACCATGTACATTACTTTTCACAATTAATTCTTGTGACTTCTGACTTTATAGGTAGAGAAATAAACTTTAGTAAAATATTTAATTGCTTCCTTTAATGAAAATATTTTATTAAATAATCTCACAACTGTCACAAATCGCAATTTTACAATATTATATCCCTTTCATTATTTGATATTCTTCCATTTTGTAACAAAATTCATTCTAAAAAATTCTCTACATATTATATCGTTAAGTTTATAATTTAAGTTAAACAATGTCACCTAATTACAGGGGTGTCAAAAATTGCTGATCTATTTTCAATATTTATTTTAAAAACTTCGTTATTTGAAATGCAACACACTGTATTTTTTTAAATAAATCGTGGAAGCTTTAAATTTTCGTCTTAGTTCTGGCACACCCTGTACATTTCAAAATAATTTTAAATTATGCACATTGCTTTCCCACATATACCCCTTAAATATTTTGTTTCCACATCTTTCCGTTTTCGTATTATCAACCGAGGCGAATGAGGTGCGCCACCATGTGTATAGTTATATAAAAAGCAATAACTATATGGATTAGAAAACATAAATCAATGTACACCAAAATAAAAAAAAAACGTTAGAAACCAACCGCAGTTATTATTAATAATTTTTGTTAAAATTTATATTTTAATATCTCGTTCTACCGAACGTTTCATATTCATTAGCTAGACCTATTTTCGTTGGTAGAAAATGACAGCTCTCAGCTAAAAACTAGTTACGCCACTGGATGCTACCTTAGGATGCTACGTAAAAATTTCTACGGAACTCACCTCGGTTTCACCTCTTTCGTATGTTATAGCCTTGTATATGAATTTTTAAAGTAGCTCAACCTAAGACGTTTATGGATGTAAAGCACCAGATGGCGGGGCGTATTTCACAGTCTTTTACTACAGAAAAATATTTTTTGTTACTCTGAATTTTGAAGCGACCAATAAAAACAGAGAAAATAAAAATCGATAATTTTCGAAGTGTGCCAATTGGTTACTAATCGACCAGATACTTTTTATCTATTAGATATATTATAAAAGCTGGTAGTTATACAATTCGACCATTGTAAATACCCGAAAAATTTCGCAAGGCCGACGAGGCCGATGCTTTTCACTGAAGAAAAAAAAATGTTTGTTTAGATAATTTTCGAGATATTTTTTCTTTCTGAATGCACATTTTTAAGTATTTTATATTCTTTGTCCGCTTGATCTATTATACTGGTTGCACGTATCGAGGTTCTGTTTCTTCTAGTTTTAAAAAATGTTCTTATTTCTTTGTAGTTGTAGTGGTTGTAGTGTAAAATTAGATTAATTTTATTAAGTTTAATTATAATGTTTAGTGTAGAATACCAGAAATAGTTTATTAGTGTTTTTATAGTTTATTATTTTGCAGTTAAGTAGTAGGTGAAAGGATAATTTGGTTATTTTTTCTTTTTGTTTGATTAATTAGTAAATTTGATAATTTTTTCAGTGTAGAAGTGGTTGAAGTAGTGAAGAAGTAGTTGTGTAGTGTTTTTATAGGAGATTATATTAGTTTATTTTGTAGATGAGTAGTATGTGAAGGTATTTGGGTATTTTTTCTTTTTGTTTTTCTTCTAATTGTAGTAATTCTATTAAGTATTGTGATAGATACACTATATCTTCCTTCAACTTCGTTGAAAAGTGCGTTATCATATAATTTTGGTTTTCTGGTAGTAGAATATACGAAAAAAAAATCTGATCAAATTTATTTTAAATTAAATTAATCGAGTTTTATTAATCAAATTAATCTAGTCAAATAATAATAATAGTTAGTTTCTAAATACTATACAGGGTGAGTTTCCTACGATGTTTCTCTATGGGTATCTCTGAAACTACTGGAGATAGAGAGTCGATTAAATGGGGAAAAAATTGCAGTTTTGTGAGGTCATAAATATGCGCTTTCGGATTTTTCGGAGAAATTCAAGGCTTACTAGATATTTCGAAAAACAAATTTTGGCTATTTTAAAAACTTTGTCTCTAATTCCATTATAATCTACCGTATGATCGAATAAAAACGGCGTCAACGATGGCTATGAAATGAAGATCGCTGTCATTTTATATCTATGTAAAATTATATGGGAAATATCATCGATCGTCATTTCATAGCCATCGCTGAAGCCGTTTTTATTCGATCATACGGTATTTTAGACAAAAAGTTTTCAGATAAAAGTTGTAGATAATCACATACCTAATGAGTTTGTGTTTTCTGTTTTTTTTTCTAAAGACTGTCATTTTTGACATATGACACAAACATTATGTTTTTTTTTAAATGGAAACCGTAGTTGGCCATGACTTCATAAAAAGCGCCATTTTTTAAGCTTTTCAGCGATATAGGTATAATATGTTTTTTTCGAAAAATTACAAGTTATAGCCAATTATTTTCTTTCTTGGCTAATTTCCATACCAATAATACCATGCCAATTAGTTGGCATCAAAAATGTAAAAAGTTTCATGTTTTCAAAAAAAATATCATAAAATTCGTAAAGCACTCAATTTAGAATAAAATAATCTAAGAATGAAATGATTCTTTTATAAATCTGCATTAAATCAAATTAAAATAGGTATGTAACTTTTTTTTAAATATTAATTAACAGCAATTAGCATTATCATAAATTACAAATAATGTACCAACATATCGAAATAATAATTTCTTTGTTAATACGGTCTGGAATTCTTAAAATAACAGGCAAAAATAATCCACAATTTACAATAAAATAAAAGTTTCGTTTAAATTTCTTAATCAGCTGATCACTATTAAAGTTCGCAGAAAGCCTGGGCTATATTATTACATTACTCTGAGGAAAATAACGAAAATTATCGATATTTTTGACTCCGCCCCGAAAGGTTCACGATTTGTCCTCCAGTTGGCAGCACATTTTGTCTAGTCGGTTGGGCAACTTTAAGAATATATAAACAAGGGTTATAGGACAACCGAAAAATGTAGGATTTTCAAATTCGCCCTGTATTTCAGGAACTGAGTGGACTAGGATAAATCTGTGTGTAGCATCTTTAGTTTCATTTACAGTGACGTGAAATATTGACGACTATAAAACACACGAAGATGGACACCCTGTACAGCTGTCACCTCTTTAATTCGGCTAAATAGGGCTGAAGATTAATTAATTAATCGCTACTACAAATAAAGCATAGTTTTCATGAATATGGGAATTTCTCAAATTTTCTTCATACGTGCGTCATAAATTTTAAAAAGTTCAGTCAAATTTATATATTTTTTATATCCGGCCGTTTTTAATAGTACCTTTGAATTTTGATTATCTGTTGACATCCTTTTTTGATAAATTTAAGTATTTTCTACAAATATCTGTGTTAATATTATGTAGGTAGCTTTCAGAATAAAAGTCCGAAATTCGGATTCAGGAAAACTAAGCTTAGCTGGTTTGAATATAATACCATTCTGGACACTTCATCTGCGTGGTCTATATTTTAATGCATGCGATAGAGATAAATATAAATGACCGGTTGACAAACAGAGAGGCAAAATAAAAAGCAGCCTACAGTATTGCCGGTTTTTAGTTGGTTAGGTCACGTTAAAATCCAGAGCACGCAGTTTCGATGACCAGATCGGTATATGTGTGCACTGTTTACCCGTTTAAAGTACGGTCTGCGCATTTTTGATAAGTAATAAAATACATTTTTATAACTTTTTAAAAATATTTTATTAAATAATCTCACAACAGTCACAAATCGCAATTTTACAATATTACATTCCTTTCAGTATTTGATACTCTTCCATTTTGTAACAAAATTTATTCTAAAATTCTCTACATATTATATCGTTAAGTTTATAATTTAAGTTAAACAATGTAACCTAATTATTAAGGAAAAAAACGGTATTATTTTAAATGCATTTTTAAGTTTGTTTTGACCAGTGGCTTTATGTTTTAGGTTACATTATTTAAAATGCCACATACTTGTTTAATACCATTTTAATACTTTATTTGCTTATTAAAAAAGAGTCTAATGTTTCTTTATTGTCAGTTCACCTGACGACCTACTTAAAAACCAATAGCTAAAAATAGTTATTCTTAATTTTCTATATACAACAATAATATTCGTTACATGAAAGGTTGAAAGAATTTTGATTGTTGGAGATGAAATCTTGAATAAAAAATGAAAAATGGTCCATTAGATTCTTGATATACACTTGACCAT